TATTACGACAGTGTTATATTAAACCTAGCTTATGATGATGAGAATATATTTTTACTGCTAAGTCTTATCACTAAACCTTACAAACAATCAATTAATTCAGTTAAATAATGCTTATTAACTGTCTTATATTTTTCTGAATCAAATGTTAAATAATTTCTATGTACTCAACAGTATTAATATTAGTGATTCAAATATGTCAAAAGTATAAAATGATCGATCATTGTTACTTAAATATTGAAACTGAAAAACAATTAAAACATCCTGTCATTCCTCATTATCTAACCTATAATTAACTGAATCAGGTCAATAGGTGCTAATTCAGTACATAAATGATATGCTTGACTAATAAATGACGTTTCATATTGTAACTGAATTGATTTTACACCAAACTGTAGGATAGTGGAATCAATACTTACTTATTTTCGCCTGTTACCCCTCGTGGAGGAGTATAGACCGCCCACCAGCACTCTCCATTAATAATCTATTCAAATGAGCAATGAAACAGTTTTAGCTTAAGATTTGAATACTTAAATAATCTTTTTCTTCCAACAGCTATCTTGTTCAAAATATAATATAAATATCCACGTAGATGATTTTATGAGTAAAGTCATTCTATCTTATGCCATATTGATTGGATTGGAATATATTCGTCAAGCTATCGGGTTATCCATATGGATAGAGTTTGTTGATGTAACTATTTAATTTACCTTAATTCATTTACATTTAATTAATCGATTTCTTGATTCCAGTTTACAACATAATACCCAGTTGATCTGAATATGAAAGATAATTTTAACAGTTAAATGTATGAGTGAATTGAATCTAGACCATCGTGAAAAATCTGGAGGCACTAGACGGCCGTTTCTTCTTAATATGGAACTCCTCAGCAGTGCGCATCCACTATCCCGCCTCGTGAGATTCGAACCCAGGACGTAGCGGTCACGCACGCGAACACTTAGACTCTAGACTGTTGAGCGGGCCGGCATCCAACAGTGTTAATGTCTAACTTCAACCAATCCATCAATCCACCAGGTTTTCCATGATGGTCTAGCTTTAACTGGCTCATGAATTCAAATATTAAATTACTGAAATAGATAGGGTTGATTTTAGCAATTCAGTTTTTTCTGAATGTGACACAAATCATCTGTCTATATTTACTTAAATATAGACCATGTTAACCGTAACAGATAGTATCATTTATATCGTACAACTGATTAGTAAGACGGTATAAATAAATTATACTTAATTAAGATTTCTTTTGTTTTAAAGTTTAAGTTTTGTAAGATTACTTTTGAACTTGCATATCCAAATATTTGTACTTTTGACTGTGTCATTTCATGTTTGGGATCTTCTAAAGTATACTCAAATAATTAGTTGGTAATAATTTTCTTTTGTTTTTACATTTCACTTGCTTATTGTAATCTAGTACAAAAGTATTGTAACCTTCAAAGAGAAGTTGAAGATCTCTTGCATACCTACTCATAGAATTGATTCACATGGTTTTACTGTAAAATGTATAACAGTCAGTTATGTGACCTGAATTTTTGGAATGGAAACAAATGTGACTAGTTTATATCAATGTTGTTGTATTTAACTTATTCATTTCATGTTAAATTATTTTTTCAATCTATCCTCATGACAGAAACACATTATAATGTCCTACATAAAGGTGACAATTTAATATTACTCATACTAGACAAAGGTTCTTATATTGTACCGATGAATAAATCAGAAAAATATTATTGATGAACAGTGATCTAATTACGAAACCATATTGATCTAAACTATTGATTTGACGAAATTTTTCAATAAAATACGGATTGAATTTAAACTGAGGACTCTAGCTTTGGATTATTGTTACTATAATTGTAAACTGTTTGTATTGTATGTGGACAATGACCGAATTGGTGTGAAGAAGGTAACTTAATCAAGATCCATAATAAAGGCGAAATCGCTGTCGTAAAATCCTTATTGAATAGTGAATAAAACAATTGAGTAGTCAATGACTATATTTATAGTATTATAAACGAAATCTTTAATATAGAAATGAACATAAATACGTATACCTGAACTCATAAATGATTATGTGACTTAGGCTTAGTCAGTTATACACCAATCTATGTTATGAATTCTATTTAATTGACAGAAATCATTCCTAATCAATTATATTTTCACAACTAATAAAAGATTGTTAAGTGAACTTAATAGTTCCTAAAGAAAGTTGAAGTTTCTATTTCAGTCAGAATGTTGGATACTTGTCCTTATGATTTCTATTATATGATCCACGTGAATAATGAATTTTCCTTAGGCCTAAAGACATTTAACTAAACATTTGGTCTATATTTTAAAATGCACTTAAAGATTACTTAGATCTAGTTTTGAAACTATGTTATGCGTACATTCATAATGTATAACTTTATATTATGGGAAATGTTTTATCCAATTTTTGAGTAAATCAGTAGCATTCATGAAAAAATATGTTTATAAAGAAGATTTTCCCCACATATATTGAATATCACTGGTCATTGCTGAAATTTTATATTATCCCATTATATGGTATGGTTTATTTGGGAACATATTGTTATGGTTCTGAATAAAATTGTTGGTATTCAATACAATGTGCATTTTAAGCGTTCCTTTTTGTTTTTTTTTCATAGACCAGCGGCTGCTAATGTTATTCAGAACTTCGATGAAAGCTTCAAAGCAACGCTAGTAGATCATCCATCTTAGATACACCTGCTTTTCCACAAATAAAATTTATTCTGATAGTTGGTTAAATAGAAACTATGAATTTCTTGATTACTATGAAAGTGGTTAGAAAAGGGTGAAATTAAAATTCTAAAATATTCCATATATATCTATTATCATTTTGATATGATCTTAAGCTTTATTATTATAATGAATGCATTAGTTAAATGTTTAGGCTTCTATGTTTCTAGTTACTAGGTATACGAGAGGCATTATCTATTAAATTTTAATATCATATGTTTGTTTAGAAAGACAGTTTTCAGTCTCATATCCTTCTACTTTCATTGCCAAAAATTGCAAGTTAATAGGTGATGAGATTGTTCTAAATATACTGCATTAACAAAATAAAGGATTTTGATAAAGTTTGAGGTAGATATTATCGTCATTTATGGAGTAATAGTGATGATAATGGTAATTACCATGTTTATACATATTAATACCGTATGTATTTACCTGTAACTGTAGTAGGACGTATATTGTGAGAACGAAAATGGGATTGCCTAGCAAAGTATCGGGACATATGCCAAAAAAGTTGAATGTCCCCAAAGTACCTAAGCATACAACGGGAAAACATAATGAGTATGAAGGATTCGTTCGGTACTGTTATTGTATTTCGAGCAATAAATAAACAGAATAACGTCGAACTTTTAGGTTAAGCAGAAATAGCCACTATTCCTTAAGTTACCCTTCATTTATGTATAGAAAAGGAAATTGTGATTCACCTTGCTTTGCCATAATGATAGATTTCACTTCTTTTCTTTCTTCTCCTTTCTATTCGCTTGTTTTCAAAATATTTTAAGTTTTCATTATGAGGTTTTGTGGAGACTAGAATTTTTATTTTATTAAACCATAAAGAAACGCTTTATTTATTTATACAAATCGGTTCGTGTACATAGAAGATTTGGAATAAACAAAATGAGCTGAATTCATTTCATCACACATTGTTTTTTTTTGTTTTGCTTAACAAAAGTTCATCAAGGGAAATAAGTGCATTGAATGTGTTGATGATTAACTTACTGTGTAAATAGGTGTATGAAAATATCGCTAATCTATACCGCACATATCCATATCTTTAAAGCTAAAAACGCATACATGATTTATTAGTATTATGATTACTATCGTCAGTGTATTCAAACTTATGTTGTTCTTAATATGAATCCAAGATAACCGCAGTTGTTTTCATGTTTCAGTAGGAAACATAAATAGATTGAGTGAGCAATAACCATCTCATTGTTTATCTGGTTTGTTTCGATTCTAAAAACATTTTCAAATTCTCTGCTACATGAAGTTAATGAAGCTCAAGACGTGATTAATACATTTTAATAGTGTTCTTTGAAGACATCGAGTTCCTGAAGTTTCAATAAAGTCGTCACTTATTGGAAATCCATTCAACTCTAAATAGAATCAATAAGACTGATGATTGACCACTTTCGAGGAGAAGATTTCAGAATTCTGGATTGAGAACTTATTCTGTTTGCTAAACATAAATCATCAAACTTGAAAAACTGATTTTTGTTGTGGAACAGGCAAGTAATGCTCCTTAAATCCGAAGAACCCAAACGGAAACAAATCAGCCATAGGGTTATTCATGAATACCATTCACCTACCGATTGATATCATTTGTCAGAAATTATTCTGATAATTAACATCAGTAATCTTTAAATTGATAGTGATGAAATCTGCCACACATTTTTACTAGTGTGAAATAAGTTAGGAAGCATATAATTGCTTGACGATGAGTTTGAGGCGTTAAAATCTTTTCAGGAAAGTAACTGATAGACTAATGTACAGGTTTAACCGATAATTTCAAAACTAATTATTATCTCCAAGTTATATCAATGGAAGAATGTTTGGATGTTACCATATTCTAAATAATCATTTATCCATACGCTTACACTGAGTTAAATGGCTTTATTGTTCATTATATATTAAACCAGTTTCACGAGTGATACAAAAATTTGGTTCTAAATAAACCAAAGGTATTCATCGATCTTGGTGATTCAATCATCAATCAGTTACTAGGCAATCTTAGGTAAACAGTATTTTAGTCATATGTTTGATATTTATAATATTAGTTATGTACAAAGTGACTATTAGACAATCCTTAAAACATTGTCAAGTAAATATCAATGTAATTTGTGTAAAAAACTTCTAGTTTGAATATGAATTTTCAATTAAACTAGAAAATTACTTGATATTTAACTTTATTTCAAGTTTTGAATAATATGCTTTAATTTTATTTATATGTTAAGCAGAGACGATCATTAACTCCTTGTGCATGGCTTGAACGTGGTGGCTTTTTTAATATGCCTAAATATTATAATTCATTATCTCCATTTGCACAACGTCGTCATATTTGTTCAAGTTATTCAAGTTGTCCACTTACATGGCTTCCAACAAATGATGTTAAATCATTAACATTTAAACTTATAGGTACTGATGGTAAGTAAAATTTTATATTTAAGTAGTTAAATAATGTTTAGTATTTATATTATAGTTTCATAAGATTGTATATATTTTGTTGTATATGAATACTTCAATGGTTGAAATCATGAGTCAATTGAAGCTAGACCACCATGGAAAACCTGGAAGCACTGGACGGGGATCGTGGATGAGCACTGCTGAGGAGTCCCATACTAGGACGAAATGGCCGCCCAGTGCTTCCAGGTTTTCGATGGTGGTCTAGCTTCAATTGACTCATGATTTCAACTATAGAAGTTATTAAAATCTTCACAAAACTCCTTCTGGTATATGAATACTGTAAATATATGATGATAAATATGATTAAATGATCAATTTGATAAAATTAGTAATTAGATATAAGCAGGTAACTGATTTTCTTTACATATTCAGTTAAATGGAGACAGATTAATATGATCAGTTCAGATCAATGACTGATTCGAAGTACAACACTATTCAGAAAAAAATGATAAGATCTGACCTTTCTTTAATTATCTTACCATTATACAGAAAATATGATAATTAACTGTTTACTACAATAGGAAAACATAGATTTATAGTTTATAGAAATACTACTACAAAAGTATACTAATACGGAAATACAGTCTTTTAAGTTTTAACTTAAAGCTAATATATATATATATATATATATATATATATATATATATATATATATATATATATATATGGTTAAAAGGTAGCAAGATTGTGATAACGTTAACCTATTATATTGTCGAACAATTACACTATTTTATGAATTCAAGAAAGTTAAAGATATCAATTATATAAGCAAAGATGGATAGTGGCTAGCAGTGGAATCCAGGACGCGCGTTTCGTGCTATTTGGGACTCGTCCACTATCCACCTTTGTTTATAATGCTTGTAAATTAAGGCAATATAGAGGCAATACTCACAGTATGCACATATGCCAATAAGAGATTGATCAATGGGAAGATGCAAGTAAAATAATAACAAGTGAATTAAACTTCACCCCATTGCACAAGCAAGTGGCTATCAGGACTCAGTAGCTAAGTGGATAACGCGATGGCGTTTGAAGCGAACGGTACTAGGTTCAAGTCCCAGAGTGAACATCAACTCCGAGATGCAGGCACATCCAGCCGACAAGTCCCAAATAGGACGAAACGCGCGTCCTAGATTCCACTGCTAGCCACTATCCATCTTTGCTTACAATGCTTGTAAATTAAGAGAATATCAAGGCAATACGCACAGTATGCACATATGCCAATAAGAGATTGATCAATTGCAGTCCTAAACATCAATAGGAAGATACAAGTAAAACAATACCAAGTGGATATCAATCATAGTTTCTTACAGACCTTAAAAATTTCATCGTTGAATTCTTTTCATTTTTATTCAATGATACAATGGGTTATATTAATATTTTAGAGACTATTATTGATTAGGTTTTAAAACTAAGATATAATAGGTATGAGGTATAATGACTGAAATACTAGAACTTCTCTGTGAAATTCCTTTATAAAGTAATTCATTCAACGAATCTTCCTGTGTAAATATCGTTGTGACACTAATATATAGTATGATATTTAACTTATGAGATATTGACTTGTCTTAGCTCAATTCAAAAATGCAGTTCAGCTAGTTTTTGTCAATAAATGTAGTGTTTTTTTTCAGTATCCTGTTGTGTTTTTATCACATTTTCAATGAAGCTGTAAGAAATGTTATTCTATTGTTTTAATCATGATTTCAAAATGCTGCTTCCAATTAATTTTCTACTTACAAAATAGTTGACCAGGTAACAGTAAACTCATAAGATTATAGTTTTTTGAGATAATTCAATGATAAATTAAATTGCGGGCTCTTAAATATAAATCTTTTTGATTAATAGTTATCAGGAAACACAACATTACACTGTTACACATATCAAATATACCTATACAAAATTGGTATTAACTAAGAAAACTGTCATATGATTCTTTATAAAAGGCTTTCTAGGTTATTGTATTATATTTAAAAAGTTTTGAAACTTGGTATTAGAGGAAAGTATACTAGTTAATTGGACGTATTTCACATGAAATTTAATCAACTTTGTTTCAAATGTCATCATATCATTTCTATTTAACTTACTTATACCATTTATATAAGACAAATAAGATAGATACTTAGTAGAATAATTCGAAATACACTGTTACACATCCAATTCTTGTAGCCCTAATAATGAGTTGACTACTTTTTAGTGAAAATAATTTAAATAAGTTTTTAATGTCTGACTTTGTCATTTTTTTAAAAACTTATTTTTTAGACATGCGTGATTACGAATTTCAAGCTCATTTTTGTAACAGAATCTATGAAGCACGGCATCGTTATTGTACTATGGAAGAGGGAGAAATCGCATTTGAGTTGAGACAGATAGGGACATGGTTAATGGTAGACCGCATTAATTGTCGATGTTTAGGTATTGCTGATGTTGAACGTTATGGATACAGTAAAGGTGTTCAATTTGGAGATCGCGTTTTTCGCGGTAATTACATACATATGACATGTGCAATAAAGGTAAGTGGACTTTGCGATTTTTATGTCAGTCAAAATATTTAAAGATTTTTTCCTACTTGTTCGTAGAATATGGAATAATTCGATAGATTTTTACTCATAAATCAGTGTCAACCTATTTTGGAGGATGCACCATTATGTCTGTTAAGCTAAAATATTATGGAAGTAAAGAAGAACTGAGCTTTATGTTAGGTGTTCAAGATAAAACTAAAACCTAATGATAGATACTCACTGATTTATACGTAGAACTAAAGCATAACATACATAATATTATAAATCTGAACAAATTATTTGGTTTTAACAGTTTCCAGTGGTGTTATGCAACTGATGAATTCAATGAATAACTCAGGAGTGGTACAGTTGTGATTATGACAAAGGATAACTGAAATATTACCTAGAGAAATATATAAACAGACTAAAAAAATGTAGTTTGAAACTGTTCTAGTAAGTTGATTCTTGGCAACTTAGTTTTAAAGTATTGTATTCAGGATCTATTAATTGTCGATTTCGAAATTCACAGTCACTTTTACTTGGTGTATGTGTTCTGTTGTTTAGAGTTCGTAATTGTCAAAATCATAGCATGAAACGTTTCTCCTGTAAATCACTTATATCATTTTTGCCTGAAAATTAATCATGAGTTTTGTAAATCCCTTAGAAGTGTATTCCAAAGAGATAGGATAATTCATGTTTAGTTTTAGACACTACTGTCTGTTATCGATGAACCGTATTCTATAGACAGCTTGAAAGAACAAGGGATTAGGATGTTCTCGGAATCGAAACACTGATAAGTTTTTTTTACCAGACTTCTCAAGGAATCTGATATGCTGTAATATACAAATGTCGAACATATAAACTGTTAAGGATTGTCTTGCTCTGACAAAATGATCAGACACATTGAGAAATAATTGTTACTGTTTTTAAACACTATATTCTATAATGCTAGGATTTATAGATATTCGATAGATATAACTTGTCCAGTTCAAGATGTAAGTTTTTATTCCAGGTATTAGATAATATAATCGACTACAGAATAGTTCTAAACATCTAACAGGATTCAAATCACAAAATTTAAATTTTACGGAATCTCTTTGGGTTGCGAAACTAAATTCAAATGTTTCTAATGTTGTCTAATTGTCTAATTTTATATATTTAGTCCTTTGTTCTTTTGGTAGAAAAAGGTACCTCAACATTTCCTGTACCACTTTTTAATACTAGTTGGTTCGGCACAATTAAAAGAATGTTATGAACAATAGTTTCATTTTACTAGTAAATACTTTGCTAGATGGTTCATCTAGAGTTTTATGAGAATTGATATTCTTCGTAAAGTTTGAACTCTCTTAATCCACACTTCATCATTTTATGACGTTTATTGACCTTTACGAAGTGTCAAGTTTATACTTTTAGTTCATTGAATCATTCAGTCAATCAGCTACAACGTAGGACTAGGTACATATGTGCATCGGTCCAAGTTGCCATACCTCATTAACACAACAGGATGAACACCGGATTCATAGAAGTAGTGGTGGCAATATATAAAAGAAAGATTGCATATAAGGAGATAGTAGAAGAATAAAGAATTAATTCACAGAAAGAGAGATATGAAGCGAGTTTAATCTCATAGTTTAAGGGAAGACAAATTGGGTATACACTGACGCCAATGTGATCGATTCTGAACCGTGTCACCAAGAGTCTCCAACCATTGGTTACGATAGTCAACCAGGCAATCTGCATCTACCAACATGGTTCGGACCAGAAGTTGGTGACTTCAAGCACTGATGCCACGTTTTGGTTTGGCCGCCCCTAACTTTCTTCCAATTATCCCTAACACCGGTTAGCATTGCGCGTCGTGGTAATCGGTGTTCAGGCATACGCAACACGTGGCCAAACCATCTCAGTCGATGAAGATTCACAACTTCATCATCTGATTTACGATCATTCCCTAATACTCTGTGATCCCAGTAGATCCCAGCAATATTACCAAGGCGTCTGTGGTCAAATACTAATAACTTACGAATATTTTCAACTCTTAATGGCCATGTTTCGCAGCCGTATAGTAGAACGAAACGAACTGCCGCGCAGTATACTCGTCCCTTAATTGATAGACGGATATCTCGCCTGCACCATAGGTGACGTAAGTTGGCGAAAGTCAGACGAGCCTTTCGAATTCGTGCTGTGATTTCGTCAGACACCAACCCATTAGGGCTGATCAGACTTCCAAGATAAGTGAAGTTGTCAACGCGTTCGACTACTTCACTCCCTATTCTTAGTCCAGATGTTGATGCAGGCCAGTTCTGAAGCAACAACTTGCATTTAGGGGGAAAGAAGCGTATCTCAAACATTCTGGCATTGTTGCTCAGTGCTACCAAAAGACTCTGCATTTTATCAGCGTCTTTATCAAACAAGACTATGTCATCTGCGTATTCATTTAATAGAAACATAACATTAAAGTTATTTCTTCTTAGGTATTTATCAACTGCTTTTATTGCATTTTTTTTCAGCCTCAATGTAAAGTGGATGATTTTTGTTATATTGAAACACCAAGTACAGATGGTTATATTTATGGTGGTCGAGTACCATGCATTTGTCCAAAACAATATCATTGTCCAATTTATTTTATACGAGATAAACGTATTCCACAAATCAATGATGATGGACGTGTCATCAGTTATGGAATTAAATGTAAACGAAGGAACTATTAATTAATTACATTTTACCTCATTTCGAATATATATATATATATATATATATATATATATATATATATATATATATGTAGGTATATATCTCCTCTAGTTTCTTTTCTCTCTTTTTATTTTCTTTTATTTCTTGTTATTATTTCTGTTATATAAGAAACAATTTTTTTCTTTCGCTTTTTTCCGCAATCAACTTTTAAATTCTTATTTTATTTTTACAATATGCCTACTAATTGATATATGTAGCGTACAGTTTTAAATTTTAGGGAAATGAAGAAATAAGGGAAAAGAAGAAAATGTCGTATAACAATAACAAAAAAATTAAAGTCTTATTTATTTGCAGAAGGGGATTTTGTGGAGATTTTAGAAATTCGATAGTTGAATTCATGGGTCAGATAAAGGGAGACCACCATAGAAAACCTGGAAGCATTAGCAGTGAGTTTCCAAGAGATTCGAACACAGAAGCGGTCGGTCTGTCGCGCGAACGTTTAACCACTAGACCACTGAGTCAGCATGCAGTGGTGTTAATGTCTAACTTTAGCCAACCCACGAAGTTGCGTCACCGTCCACCATTGTCTTTATTGAGTTACTATCTCACAACAGACCTTATTGAACTTTACTGGCCACGGCTTCTCAGTAGAACTCCAGGAAATATCTCTTGAAGTCAGTAACTAGTGAGCACATGATGATTACGATCAGAAGGGGGTTTTGTGGAGATTTTAGTCAATTAAAACTAGATCATCATGGAAAACCTAGGGGAAAAGTTTGATTTTAAGTACGTTATCCGTGAAATTTGTTTTTAACAATTTGAGTCGACTTTTGACTTCAATCATAACTCATAGTAAATGGTTATAAAAATCTCTGTTTGTAATCAAATCTATGATAGATATATTTGTTTATTTGATAATCCATAAATATATTGATAACGTTTCACAGAACAAATCAATATAGTAAAGAAATCTAACTTAGTAAGATCTAGGATTCTTTCAAATGTTCAAATAAAATTAGTCCTATGATGGTATACATATTCCTCTAAGCATTTAACATATTGTGAAACAAAAACTAGACTGTATATGGAAATCCTACCTTCTTGAAACATTTGCTATACAGTATAATGTATTCCTTAATTAAGTTAATCAGTCAAGTATAATTTTCTCTGAAGTTGTTCATTTGTAATGATTAGATATTTGATTTTTGTTAATCAGACGTAGTTATGGAATCATAGTGAACATACTCATTTCACTTCAATCAAAACGTTTATAAAACTGCTGAGCAAAACTTCAGACACCAATTATTTTTCCATTGAAAAATAACCAAACATTCTCTTAGAGATGAATTGACCATTCTGATTATGTTTGCCCCTGAAAAATCTCAATGTTAATGAATCAAAACTTGTTAACCATTAGAGATCGTTGAACGTTTTTGTAGATTGTGAGTGAAGTAGTATTAGAAGAACTGAACACGTGTTGTTTCAAAGCGCTCATGTGCGGAATTCGATACGTGGCATCAGAAACACTCTATCAAGGTCAAAGAGGCCGTTGTATTTGATAGTGGCTGGAATTAACAGTTCTTTGTAACAAGCGAAATCAAAGGAACTGGTGACGACGCAAAAATAATCGAGTTTGACATCAAGCTTATCTGAGAGTTTTAAGAACAACTTGTATTCTGAGCAGAATGCTTCAAAATAATTAGTAGCTTGAATAAAATTATCTACTACAAGATATCAACAGCTAAGCGTTAAAATGATCAAATTGCCCGCCATAAAGCAATTAGTACTATGGAGTAAATAACATAATTAATCAAAATATTTGCAAATTATTTATTATTATTATTTTATTTAAACACATAGATATTGGTACAAGGAGGCACCAAATAGATATAAGCCACACAAATCTCATTTGATGTGTGTGAGGGCTGTAATACTGCTTGGGTGCCTAAACCGAAGCAGGTGGTTTTCTTAGGGGGTCACACCCGGGGCCTTCGACCTGAAGATTTGATCCACAAGGCAGTGGAGCATCATAAGGAGATGCAGTCCTAGGGTAGCCAGTGACCAACGATCGGTTCATACGCCATTTGTTCCTTCAGGATACTGGAGCCCATGTGCACCATTGGTTTGGATTCAGGGTTTTCAACTCCCCTAGGTGGACAACACCCACGCCACGAGAGGGCAAATTAATTATAATATAATTGAAACTGTGTAATCAATTAGACTCTAGGATTAAGCATTCTAGTTAATCAGAGAAATCAACATCTTTTCATAATGATTTTACTTGGAATATGATGGGAATTTCTGTCTACTAATAGCTGTACCAAAGTTGAAATCGAGAAAAATCACTTATATTTTGTTAGCTCACCGTATTTTAACCTAAGTAAATCCAATAAGCATGTAAATAAGGGCCAAAAGCACTGAAGCTGTTATCATTTAGCTACTTAAACAAAAATAAGTAGTATGAAAATTTGTAAAACACAAAGGTCTTGAACATTATCTAGTTATTTTTTGGTGTAAATTTATTCAGAATAATTAGTTAACAATATACTTTTATAAATATATACCATGTAAATTGCAGTGTATAGTGGAGTATAAGTTAAAGAATATGGAATTCATAGTTAAAAATTATTTTTCAGAGAATATATAGACACTTAAATAAGCGTAATTTGTATGACGTTAAACTGTTAATATGAATTTTTAACCATCTTCACATTCATAGATGTTAATCTTCGTTGTCATCGAGAATAATCCTAATATTTGGTAGTCACTTGTCCATGATATTTCTTGAGAAAAATGTGGAAGGTATAGAGGTTATAATTTAAAAAGTATGAAATGATAAATGAACTTATACATGATAGTCAAATATGCTTCTATCGTTGAGATAGCAGAAAAAACACACAACAGATCTTTAAGGTAACTAATGATAAAATAAAGCTTTAGTTTTCATTAACCTGTCAAACTCTTAGTTATGAGCAGTTTCATATTATCTGAAATTCAAAATATCGGGTATGAATATCTAGAATAAAGATATTTTGTAAATATATGAGTAATTGTAGACGTTTTTATTATAAGTGTATACTTGGTATTGGTATAACCAAAAAAAGGAGAGAGTTGGTATATTTAAGACAAATACATATGTATATATATATATATATATGTTCTTTCTGAACATGTGTGACATAATAAATCTTGAAAGTAAAAACGCATATTTATATTATAGTAAATTAGCAGTTAAAAGATTGAGGTGAACATTATAATTGCATCAATATTGCATGTGATATCATTGGGGATTTCCGTATAACTTATTTGTTTTGGACATTTTCTTTGGTACATATTCACCAATAGCATTTAGTGTAATTTGTTGATCCCCGTATGCTGGTCGATCTTCAGGTGTTGTAAGAAAACGTAATCTCTAAAAATAATAGAAAATTAATAGTGTAGGTAAGAAGTTATAGAAATACATTTCAATTAAAAGAGTAAAGGTTTTGATTTTAAGTATCAAGAAAAAATCAAAGTCGATCAACTATAAATATTTACGAAACCTTGTTAAATCAATAGTTTAGCTTGAATGTTTCCTTGTTAGAATGCTTAATCAGTAGAGTTTGCTAAAATGTTGCCGAAACCTGTCGTACATGATTTGTAGAAAGATACCTCATGGTCTATAACTTACTATGACAAAAATCCTTGTGATTAGATGTTTATACTGATAAACATTGAATATTTTAATTTATATACTCACCATAAATTGATATCAATGTAGAGTAGATGCTTATCTCATAATAAATTTAGAATAACATATATAAGCAAACAATATTGTTTACATTAGATCCTCATCAGGTTTTATTCTAACATACAGTAATATTTATATGCATATACGAAATTATTAAACAAATCACGGTAGTTTATGAGTCAATGATAACGATGAATGAAACGATTACATAATATATGAAAAGTACAAATTAATAGTGTGATGACAGGTGTACTAGATTTTGATAAGAATACTAAAGGCTCAAAACAATGTTACACAATCGGAAATAGATCAATGCTTAAAAAAATATAGACACTGAAATAATATTCATAAAAATTATAATAAGATGACGTAATAAGAAGTGTTCAGATAATTGAACCTTTTCCTAACCACGATGGGAGGTGTTCACTAACTCTTTGGTTCAGTTGCCTGGTAGTGCCCCCAATATAACTTTCTCCGCATGAGCAGCTGAATTCATAGATACACATAGAAGTGGCGTAACCAGGTAACTTGTCCTTCAGTTGGGGAATCACCATAGATCGGGTCGAATACGATAAACAGACGTTGGCAGCATTAAACGTTTTCTTGACTGCTCTAGTCAATCTCATAAACTACCTTGATTGGTTTAATAATTTCGTATATGCATATAAATATTACTGTATATTAGAGTAAAGCCTGATGGTGATCTAATCGAGAACAATATTGTTCGCTTATATATGTTGTTCTAAATATCTCATAGTAGTTTGAAATTCACCAACAATTTACATTTATAACGTTACACAACATTGAGGTTTCTGTCTTCATGTACTGCTATTATGGTAAATATATGGATGTTCACTGATTAACGTTAAAGTCAAGGACCGATAATAGTTAAACAACTACTGAATGTCTTAGAGCACTGGACTGCTGTTTCGTCCCAGTGTGGGTCTTCTCAGAGGTATTCAGATTTGATGAGTCCATTTTCCCAGTGAAACTCAAAAATCTTCACAAAAATATTCTGACGGTTACCATGTAACTACTAGTGGCTAGCTTTGAGTGGAAATTTCTAGAGTTCTAGTGAGAAGCTGTAACCAGTCGAGTTCATTTATGTTAGTTGTGAGGAAGGTACTTATCGAAGACTAAAGTTAAGTTTGTATAGCTTGATGTCCCGGTTCAGAGGTTCCAATGTTGGGAACTCGCGCACGAGACCAAAGGTTGTGGGTTAGATTCCCGGTTGTGGAGTCGTTTATGTACATCGCGGAGGTGTCCTTTACAGGGACGAAAAGGCTTCACAGTGCTTCTAGATTTCCAGTAGTTGTCTACCTTTAATTAGATACATACTTATCATATATTATCTAGACTTAACAGCTTAACTTAAATAAGTACTTCTCAACAGAAATTTTGGCAATATCACATCTAACTGGTAATGTTGAAGTCAGTCTAGGAAAAGAGATTAGTAGGAGATATGTGGTCAATAGTAAAAATTCGGAGTTAGCTATCCAACTAACTACATTCATTTATTTCCCTATGAAATAAAAAAAAATATTTAAATTTAATTAAATTGCGAACAATGCTTCAAAATTCGAAATCTGTTACTTACTTCAAGAAAAGATCCTTTAGCCTTTATTAATTGATATATCATTAAGATTGGAATGAATATTGGAGATGAGAACACTATAGCCCATGATAGTGCAATAACCCAGGTTGTAGGTTCATAGACAACGCCCAAAACAGAAACAGGTTGTGTTTCATAAGAAACTATATTTGCTATAAAAATACCCTTGATAAGAAAGAGAATAGACGTAAGTATGTGAAAAAATCAATGAATTAGTGATACATATTGTATAAAAACATGGAAGAAAAACAAGATCCTCAAATACAATGCAGAGATCATCAACCCAAACACACTTGACGGCGAAGCTCTAGAAGATGTGGAATCTTTCACGCACTCGAACAGCATCATCGGTAAACAAAAAGGATCTGATGCAAATGTAAAGGCAAGAATCGGCAAAGTACAACACTGTTACATTTAAACATCCGGAAGTCAAAACAACTGTCAACCAATATCAAAGTCACAATCTTCAATATAAACGTTGAGACAGTTCTACTGCATGGAGCTGAAATTTGGAGAACTACCACAACCAGCATCAAAAAGGTACAAGTATTTAAAACCAGTTGTCTACTTAAGATACTCAATGTCCTTTAGTTGAGTACCATCAGCAACAGCCTACTGTGGGACAGAACAAACTAGCTTCCAAGTGAAGAGAAAATTAGAAAAGGATATTGGAAGTGGATTGGACACACATTTAGGAAACCATCAAACTACATCACGAGACAAGTGTTAACTTGTAATCCTGAAGAAAAACAAAGACAAAGAAAGTCCAAACCACACACTGTGTCGATTACTGCAAGCAGACATGAAAAGGATGAATATCAACTGTAAAGAACTGGAAAGGATTACCTAGGACAGAGTTGTATAGAGAGTGCAGGTTAATGGCCTATACTCCTTCATGAGGGTAAGAGACGTTAGTATTATTGGGAAAAAACTGAAATTCCTTCATAAAAAGTAAAATCCTTTAACATGCCTTAATTACTTCTTAATATGTATAAATAGGGATGATGAAATTTAATAAGAAATACGATAAAGTTTCAAGACTCAAACTATGCAAACATAAAGTCATTTTCGATCAGTAGTTTTTCATGATTAACAAAAAAATATATATGATTCTGTTATATTAGTCATTATTGTATAATGGTATATAAGACTAATGAGTGAACTGCCTGCTCAGTAACAACTAATCAACTGTAAATTTATTCAAATAATTAAATCTTAGAATAAATGTCAGTGAAACTAGTTAAATTTGAAATCACTTAAGCAAACCTTTTTGCCTTCCCGTAAAGTAACTTGATCCTTTAATTTATCAGTTGCACAATATTCTTCAATTTGTAAGTTTGAACATTATCAATAAGCCTAGCTTTACAATTACAATTTCTTAGGTCATAGGATCTTATAAAACTTATTTGATCAATATTAGTTCTGGTATCTTTATAACTATAAGTCATTTCATATAAAAATGAAAATGTCATCTAATATTCTTTTTTGCTTGAGTAGTGGTGAATGTAACAAAAAAGTCTTTAAAGTTGACATCAATGATGCAACATTATTCTTGAATTTTACAAGTCTAAAAGTCTAAGATTTCTAATAAGTATTGAATTATAGTCGTTTAGATATTATGCATAGAATGATTCTACTTTTCACTTAGCTGTACATGAACCATAGATGAGGTTAATATTCTTACTTCTACATTATTCAACAATAAATATGTTACTTCTGCATGAGATCAACTTTAATTATGAGATTGTATGGTGCAGGTAAAAATTAGTTTCACAAATTTAGCAGGCATGAGTTAGTAATTAACAAAAGATCTAACCAAATATATTTTGACAAATCATGACAAACCATAGACTTGTTTAAGATGTGTATATTTAAATGATAATCAAATAGAGAAATTTAATAGTTGAATTCATGAGTCAATTGAAGCTAGATCATCATGAAAAACTTGGAAACATTGGATAGCTGTTTTAATCTAGTATGGGATTCCTTCTTCCTAGTTTTCCATGATCGTCTAGCTTCAATTAACTTACGGATTCCACTATAAAATGACTATCATATCCAACAAAATTCCTCTTTGATTAAAATAGAGAAATATTGTTTAAATACTGATAAACAATATTTCATCAATGATATCTATATTATAATGTGTACATTTCAAATATCAGTTAGTGTGTATATTGAATACTCAGTTATTCATTATACTATAAATAGAGTTTGTTTAACTGCTAAGTGTTGGACTAGGTTTGTTATTCAAATTTTATTGTTAACTTAACTGAATCGATCATGGTCATTAATTAAACTATTGTTAGTTTCATAAGATATTTTAAATGATGTAAACAAAAAAAATTTTTTTTCTTTTTCTGATTTATTTACAATAATAGTAGTAATGATAATTTTCATATAGAAACAACGAAAACAAATGATTATTTTGTTTAGTTGCATTTTTTTTCTTCACAGAGGAAAATTTATCTTTCCCGCTCTTGCTCTCGCTTCCTCTCTCTCTCTCTCTTCCCTATTCTTTGCATGATAAAATCATCAAATAATGTCTAAGCGTAAGTATAATGATAAGAATTGAAGAATGTTGAAATGTTGATGTAAATTTTGTCTCTATGATTTATGTCAGTTACTTTTATTGGAATAGCCTAATATAACAAGAGGATAACGGAAAAAATACACCAAGAAATGGTACCTTTTAATCTATGTTGTTTTTTTAGCCCAAAAAGAACTAATGGATGACAGAGAAAAAAAGTCATCTAAGATGTTTGATTTTCTAACGTGTAAAAGAAAAAAAAACAGTATAAAGTCATTAGTGAGACAAAAAACACTAAGAAAAATAGAGATGACGGAGAAAAAAAAATAATGTAAGCGATAGTGAATGAACAAGTAGTTTGAGAAAAAGAAAAGAAATTTATAAAAAAAATTTGAGTTGTATGTGTATGTGTGTGCGTGTGAGTGTTTGTGGTGAGGGAGGGATTCGATGTAAAATAACGATAGATGATTAACGATTAATAATTCATTTATATGCAAATTTTTGTAAACATCAGGCTATTTTATACTATGGTTATATATATATATATATATATATATATATATATATATATATATCATTTTTGATCAAAACATGAACAGATAAGGTGGTTGTCGATAGGATTTGTATAATACAATCAGTAAAAGTTCAAAGAAATTTGTGATCCTTCTGTTCCTACTCTTAAACTAGTTGGCACTTTTAATGGTTTTAGTTAAATACTGAAAAGATAAGGATATATTTAAATAAAATTCAAATGAGAATGGTTTACTAACTCCTAATTTAACAACATGAAGTATTATTATATAATGTTTATATATATCGCATAAATTGTTCTAGTTAAATTATACCATGGAAAATTAGTTGTTACATTCAATCTAAAGCAGTAAACTATATTATAAGGTTTTTAAAGTTCGCCTATAAATGTAAACTGAAAATTCTAAATTGAGCTATTGAATTTGACCTAGATTCAATAGTTCATTGATGTAGTTATATTTTTGACTTCAAATTCATATTCAAAATAATATCCTATTCATCTATTAACTGATTATATCATAAAATAATTTCAATTTCAATCGAAGATAAATCTTTTCAATGAAGTAAACAAACAAGAATTATTCAAATATGAAGGTCATTAAATAAATGATATGTTTTGAGATCCATCATTTAAAGATGTAAAAAAATTCTTTATGAATAATCAGTAGATGTGTTCAGTTAACAATCAGGATAAACTACTATAGTTATGTTAAGTTCTTTGAATTGGATGATTTTAAATTATGAATGTTATTCCAATGTGTATAATCAATGGACTATATATGATTACTTTTATTCAAACGCAATCGACAAATTTCAACAAGATCTAAACTGAACGTCAACTATGTTAGCCCAGTAACCATATGTATCAATGAGTACATGAACGGATGAATTTCTGTGGACAGAAAATAATAGAACACTTACAGTATGAATTTAAAACATTAAAGGAAGAGTTGTTATCAGTCAACTGTATTATAACGCTCACAAGTTATTATCAAATTGAAATACAAATGAACCTAAGTCTTTTTCATCACAGACTAACTTGTTTCATTCTCTTTTATTCATTCTGTATGAAGTTATAATAAATCAAATTAATTTGAATTATGTACTAAGAGGAACTAAAAATGTTTGAAAATAAGTTTAAAAAGTAGGAAATTTAATGTCCTTGTCAACCAGTTTTTATATATTTTTTAAATAAGAAATATAAATGAAATTTATTTTGACTTGCCAGCAAGAAAATTGGACTTATATAAGCCCAGCAGATTTGCCAAAATATACCAGGTTTAAATCCAAGCATCATTTGTACGTCTTGACAAAATCGTTTGGTACCTGAACAAAATGCAGAAACGCTTGTAAACATGCTTCAAAATACACACAGTTGTTTGCAATGAGTTGTGTTAAACTTGTTTTACATCAACACGTAAGTGGGAGTAAAATGGATTTGACACCTTTAATGAAATTTATCGATCATGGGACATTATGCGAAGCAGGAAACCATATGTGTTAGTTACCAACTAGGTATGTAACCTTAAAATATATATTTGCAAACGAGTTGTGTTCATGAGGACAACTGTTAATGGATGGAAAAGTTTCATTCTGACTGATAAAGTAGTCAATTCTTTCTATGAAACCGTTTATTCGTACGTTTTACCATATAGATATATGACTGGTAGCGATGTTGTCAGGTAACGTTATTAAAAACTAGATAATACAGAAAATTATGTTTAGGAATTAAGATCTCTAACTTCAGAACAACTTAAAAACTATACTATCCAAGGCGAATCCAATTGGTTGTGATTTATTTGTTTCACATTGGAAGTTCACTTTAAAAATAATTTTATTCAAATTTATTCGATCTACATGCTGATGTGAAAAATTAAATACACTGTATGTTGATCTTATCAATTATGAATGTTTTCTTACTGATATGAAATAAAAATTTTTTTTTTTCATCGAATACCTAGTAGTTATTCAAACTCAATGTATTGTATTGATAATCTATATTTTAACATAATATTGTGATGTGTGCTACTTATATTGGTAAACACAAGTAGTATGTATCCTCAATTAAAAGTGAAATATCTGGAAGTAGAAGGTTAAGAAGATCGAAGAAGATACAATGAGAACAGTGAATGATTACTGTAGAAATGAAGGAACAGTGAAGTCTGAGATAATTGATTTTACTAAGATGTTTTGTAATTTGGTAATCACATTGGTTCGATCGTGCCCATAAGTGTTCACGTTCACTACAATATAACTAGTGATGAATTGTCAATCAATGAAATAACATCTCAACTACTGAATTGAAAATGTATTTAAAAATTTGAAAAACAATAAGTAGATATTTTTTTGCTTTTCAATGGTGTTAAATTTTTATTGGCCTGTTTTTAGTAATAGATTCGGTTACATTAGTCAGTCAGTCAGCTACAACGTAGGACTAGGTACATATGTGGGTCGGTCCAAGTTGCCATACCTCATTAGCAAAACAAGATGAACGCCGGATTCATAGAAGTAGTTAATTTAGTGGTGGTATTATATAAAAGAAAGAATACATATAAGGACATAATAGAGGAAGAAAAAATTAGTGTGTAGAAAGAAAGATATGATTATATAGATTTTAACAATTAAAACGAACATGTTTACAGACATTTAATTTGAGTACCATTGTGCATGTTGTTATTATAAACACTTACCATAAAACCAACACAATGCTACACATTCACAAAACACAATGAACAAAATTGAGATTGGAGCACCATGACGGTCAAGCATAGTCAGAACAAGATATCCACCCTGCATTCAAAAGTGAATATATATGTTATAAACGAGTATATACAATCAAAACAACAGTAAAAATGCTTTAATGTAAATTTAAAAGAAAATATTTATCAGAAAGTGGGTTTTGTGGAAATGTAATAGTTGAATTCATGAGTCAATTGAAGCTAGATCACCATGGACAACATGGAAACACTGGAAGGCCGTTTCGTCCTAGTATGGAACTACTCAGCAGTACGCATTTATAATATCTACTCCAGAATGACTAGATGAAATGACTAAGTGAATTTAGTTAAATTATGTTCTAGCGAGAGTTTTTTTTAAATTTTAACATTTCATACAACGAATGAGTCTTTTGTATCTGATTTGTACTGTACTATAGAAACGAGTAACTCCGCCTGTAGCTCTTCTAGAGTTACTGCCGGTCCCAAGCCCGGGTAAAGGAGGAGGGTTGGGCATGAGGTTAGCGTCCCCATCCCGTAGAAAACTAACTCGCTAAAAAACGCTAACCAGAAAAAATAACTCAAACTATTTAAACTCTGCCCTGGGAGTTAGAGGTAATATGACGCTTCATGGTAAAAGCCGAGTTCTTTCGGAAGCCACGAGGCCGATGCCCCTCCTAACAACCAGAGCAACAATTTTTATAGGTACATGGAACGTCCGGACAATGTGGGAGACCGGGAAAGCCATTCAAATAGCAACGGAAGTGAGGAGATACAACTTGGCAGTACTGGGAATCAGTGAAACCCATTGGACCCAAGCTGGACAACAAAGGCTAAATACGGGAGAGATGCTGCTATACTCCGGTCACAAAAAGGAAAATGCTCCACACACTCAGGGAGTTGCTCTAATGCTATCCAAAGTAGCACGAAATGCACTTGTAGGATGGGAATCTCACGGATCCAGAATCATCAAAGCATCATTCAAAACAAAGAAGGAGGGGATCACAATGAATGTTATCCAATGTTATGCACCCACCAATGATAGCAACGACGACGTTAAGGATCAATTCTATGAGAGGCTGCAATCAATCATAGAGAAGTGCCCAAGAAAGGACCTCACCATTCTGATGGGAGATCTAAACGCCAAAGTCGGAATGGACAATACCGGATATGAAGACATCATGGGACTACATGGACTGGGAGAGAGAAACGAAAACGGGGAAAGATTTGCAAATCTGTGTGCATTCAATAAATTGGTCATAGGCGGTACAACATTTCCACACAAACGTATACACAAAGCTACGTGGATCTCACCGGACCACACCACAGAGAACTAGATAGATCACATTTGCATCAATAAAATGTTCCGAAGGACAATGGAAGATGTGAAAACCAGGAGAGGAGCGGACATAGCTTCAGATCATCACCTGGTTGTGGCCAAATTGAAACTGAAGCTAAAGAAGAACTGGACAACTGGACAAACAGCATCACAAAGGTTCAATACAGCCTTCCTTCGAGATACTGATAAACTCAATGAATTCAAGGTAGCTCTCAACAACAGGTTCCAAGCCTTACAGGATCTACTGAAGGAAGAAAAAACTACTATGGAGGATAGCTGGAAAGGTATCAAAGAAACATTAACTTCAACGTGTCAAGAGGTTCTGGGCCCCAAGAAGCGTCATCACAAGAAATGGATCTCTACAGAAACATTGGACAGGATCAAAGAAAGAAAGAACAAGAAGACAGCAATTAACAACAGTCGAACAAGAGCAGAGAAAGTCCAAGCACAAGCAGAGTACATAGAAGCAAACAAGAAAGTGAAGAAGAGCATTAGAGCTGATAAGCAAAAATACGTGGAAGAACTAGCAACGACGGCGGAAAAAGCTGCAAGAGAAGGAAATATAAGACAGCTTTACGATACGACGAAGAAGCTTGCAGGGAAATACAGTAAACCAGAGAGACCAGTCAAAGACAAAGAAGGAAGACCAATCACTGAGATTCAACAACAGCGCAACAGATGGGCAGAGTAATTCGAGGAACTCCTGAACAGGCCGGCTCCAATGAATCCACCGGACATCGAAGCAGCACACACAGATCTTCCTATAAATGTCAATCCACCAACGACAGAAGAAATCAGAATGGCCGTCAGACAAATCAAGAGTGGGAAAGCAGCAGGACCTGACAATATACCAGCTGAAGCGTTGAAGTCAGACATCGAAGTAACTACAAGCATGCTTCATTTTCTATTCAAGAAGATTTGGGAGGAGGAACAAGTGCCGATGGATTGGAAAGAAGGACACCTCATCAAGATTCCAAAGAAAGGAGATCTGAGCAAGTGTGAAAACTACAGAGGCATTACACTACTGTCAATACCGGGTAAAGTCTTCAACAGAGTGTTACTGAACAGGATGAAAGACGCAGTTGACGCTCAACTTCGAGATCAACAAGCTGGATTCCGTAAGGACCGGTCGTGCACAGACCAGATTGCGACACTACGGATCATCGTCGAACAATCAATTGAGTGGAACTCGTCACTGTACATCAACTTCATTGATTATGAGAAGGCATTTGACAGTGTAGATAGGAGGACGTTATGGAAACTTCTTCGACACTATGGAGTTCCTAAGAAGATTGTCAACATTATCCGGAACTCATACGACGGACTACAGTGCAAAGTAGTGCATGGAGGACAGCTGACAGAGGCATTCCAAGTAAGGACCGGAGTAAGACAAGGCTGTCTACTCTCTCCCTTCCTGTTTCTTCTGGTGGTCGACTGGATTATGAAGACCTCGACATCTGAGGGAAACCACGGCATACGATGGACAGCTCAGAACCAATTAGACGACTTGGACTTCGCAGATGACCTAGCCCTCCTATCACATACACACGAACAAATGCAGATAAAGACAGCCAGAATAGCAGCAGTCTCTGCATCAGTAGGCCTCAACATACACAAAGGGAAAACCAAGGTCCTCAAACACAACACGGAGAACAGCAATCCAATCACTCTTGATGGCGAAACTCTGGAAGACGTGGAATCCTTCACATACCTGGGAAGCATCGTCGATAAACAAGGAGGTTCAGATGCAGACGTCAAGGCGAGGATTGGCAAAGCTAGAGCGGCATTCCTTCAATTAAAGAACATATGGAACTCAAAACAACTTTCAACCAATATCAAAGTCAGAATCCTCAATACGAACGTCAAGGCAGTTCTACTGTACGGAGCTGAAACTTGGAGAACTACAACAACCACCATCAAGAAGGTACAGGTATTTATTAATAGCTGTCTACGCATGATACTCAACATCCATTGGCCGGATACCATGAGCAACAGCCTTTTGTGGGAGAGAACCAACCAGCTTCCAGCTGAAGAGGAAATTAGGAAAAGACGATGGAAATGGATAGGACATACATTGAGGAAATCATCAAACTGCATTACGAGACCAGCGCTAACTTGGAATCCTGAAGGGAAGCGGAAAAGAGGAAGGCCAAAGAACACATTAAGTCGGGAAATAGAAGCAGATATGAAAAAGATGAATAAGAACTGGAAAGAGCTAGAAAGGATTGCCCAGGACAGGGTTGGATGGAGAATGCTGGTGAGCGGCCTATGCTCCTTCACGAGGAGTAACAGGCGTAAGTAAGTAATAGAAACGAGTGTATTGTTCAGCCGTACAATTTCTGTGTTCCATCTGTTCGTCTATTTAGTTGGACATCTAGAAGCACTATGCTATTTTTCTGTTCTTCTTTCAGTGCAGAATTAATTGGTGAAAAAATGTTATTAAATGTATTAAGTAAACTTCTCCTTTTCATGTTCTTGTTCTAATACTATGGAAGTATCATCTACATAGCGACAATAAGATTATGATAAACCCTCTTTCTACCAATTTCTAATCGATATATCATTATATAATTATTACGTAACGTATTCATTATTGTAAATCATATATATATATATATATTTGTGTAGAGCCATGATGAAAAACTCATTGAAGAGAAATTCCTTCGCTAAATATCAAATGGGGAATCTTCACAATTTATTAATATGCTGATATATTTAGACGTAAATAAGTAACATCAGAAGAGGTTTTGTGGATATTATAGTAATTTTTAATGGTTGAGATCATGAGATCGTGAATGCGCACCTCTGAGGAGTCTCACAATAGGACGAAACGGCCTTCCAGTGCTTCCAGGTTTTCCTTGGTGGTCTAGGTTATAAAATTTAATTTGATGTCAAATAGAATGATCTATATATTTTAGTGTAAGCACATTCAGATAAATGATTTAAGTTTACCTTATTTATAAGTTAAAACAAAAATATGATTGAAGGATCTTTATCAACCGTTTCAGATAAACTTACATTTAAAAGACTTATTGTAAACACATACTAGTGAGAAATATCGCGCTAAACATAAACATCTGAGTTCATAAGATACTTGGACAAAAAAACCCCCACAGATCGTACACCTATAATAAATATCTGTTTCATAAATTTATAAAATTTTATAGGTTAATATTCTTACACATGTAGTAGATGCTAAAGCTCCAATAAAACAATAAACAACCACAGCGAGTACAAACAGCTCACGTCTACCAGATAAAGCAGGAACACTGTCCATGATTGCTGTTATAATTGCTTCAAGACCACCAAACTAAAAACAATATATGTAAACAAAATACATATATTTACCAAAAAGAATTATCATAAATATTAAACTGATGTTAAAAGTTTAAATTAAAAGTAATACTTCTTAAAGATAGTGCTTCTCAATTTTCACCTTCCTTTTTAACTAATCTGTCACTAGTGAACTTTCATTTCTTATTTAAACAAATAAATCATTTATTTGATTACTAAGCTTATTAAAAGGAGGGAAGTATTAAATCATGACCTACAATATTATTGAAATTTATATATTATTTCAGTGTCCCTATTGTGTTTACTACTCACAAATGTGTTTTTATTTTTTTTAGACAAATTTACAAATTCAAATAATTTCCGTTTTTTTTTTTTGTATTTTTTGTCATTAATGTTTTAATTTATAAACGTCGAATACATTGAAAAACAAAACAGTTTTTATATAAAGAATGATGGATAATATTTTGCACTGGTAACTATTTTGATGAGACTATAATTTATGAACGACCTTTGAGCGAAGCTACAGTGACCTTGGGAATGTCCACCTACTTACTAGGGCTAAATGATGGTCATAAGAATTATGATTTAAAGTTGATGGTTAGAGATAACAATTAAATTCACAGTTTTCATCACGAACTGACATCGACTAAAATGCAAGGATGCAAATTAGACAATTGGGTGAATGAATTTCGCGCCAAAATCCCAGACCTGTCATACTAAATCTGATTCGTTCGTCCATAGATTATAGTCTCATTATTTTAATAAAAAGGTTTTTCGAATTACGTTTATCCGAAACCAAAATTCACATAAATTATGATGTACATAAAAAATGTTAAATGATTATTTCTTGTTAACAAAGCAACCAAATAAATAATTATTTGAAATTAGTTTTTAGTTTGAAAAACAAAGATTCCCACATTTGTACATTTACGTTAAATAATGAACAAGTAGAGAATAATAGCAAGTTATTCGACTCAGAAACGTTTAGTGTAACTACAATAATGAAAATGATACTATTATCTTTTTATTCATGGATTAGCTTAAATCAATTCATGAATTCAACTACTAATTTTGCTACAGTCTCCACAAACCCCCATTTTGATAGTAATCATCATCTGCTCACTAGTAAGTGGCTTCAAGATGGATTTCCCGAAGTTCTTGTGAGAAGCAGTGACCAATGGAGTTCAATAAGGTCTGTTGTGAGGTAGTTACTGACTGAAGAGAATGATTGACAATGGCGTAATCTCGTCAATTGGTTGAAGTTAGACAATAACACCGTTGGATGCCGGCCGATTCAATGGTCTAGAGGTTAAGCGTTCGCGCATGAAACTGAATATCCTGGGTTGGGATCCTGCGTGAGGGATCGTGGATGTGTGCTGTTGATGGGTCCCGAACAAATATGGAATGATAGTCCAATGCTTCCAAGTTTTCAGTGGTGGTATAGCTTAAATTAGATCATGAATTCAACTATTAGAATTTAGAGACACTTTTCATATAAAAGACAAACTTGTTATGAATGATGCGAATTTTGTGAAAGTCCCAAGTTTAGTATCTTTTGATGAGATTTAAGATGAGATTTCGACCTTATAAGCCTATCAATCATTTCTTTTCTTAAAAATCACGATTTTTTTCAAAACGATTGAAAACATTCATAGTTCGATTTTCAAATGTAACCTCTATTGTTCTATTAATTGATTTTTAGTCTTCAAAAACTGAATCATATTAGTATAAGAAGGGGTTTTGTGCAGAATGTAATGATTTCAATAGTTGATATCATGAGTAAATTAAAGCTAGACCACCATGGAAAACCTGGAAGCACTGGACGGTCGTTTCGTCCTATTGTGTGACTCCTCAGCTGTGCGAATTCACGATCCCGCTCGCCGGATTCGAACCCAGGACATGTCAGTCTCGCATGCTAGCGCTTAACCACTAGACCACTGAGCCGGCACACATCCAACGGTGTTAATGTCTAACTTCAACTAATCCACGAAATTGAGCGACAAATCCACCATTGTCATCAGTGAGTTCCTATCTCACAATTGAATCATATTACCAATATTTTTTAAACATTCCCTTTGTCATGTTGTTGAAATTATAATAAACGTACCATTTTGGCCTTTACATATTACGTATGTTAAGGTAAATAATATGTTCACTTATGTATAGAAAATGTTCGATGATAAATATTAGCTTTAAAGGAGACTTCCTAATTGAAGTAACTTCAAGTAATTGAATATTAATGAAGATTTTCCATCCTAATATTTGGTTGAATAACATCATGAAGCGATAATCGTCCTCAAAATACCAGTTTTTAACTTATTCTACAGAACATATTGTATTTCCAATACTAGAAATATAATTTCCAATCTGTTTTGATTGTTATCATAAACTTTAATTTTTCTTTAATCAATGAATATTGGTTAAAATTAATGTTAAATTAATAACAGATATACTTACTGTACTGTCAAGACCTAATGTTATTAACATTAACATAAATATAATTGCCCAGAATGTTGAACCAGCTAATGTTGCGATTGCTTCAGGATAAGCAATAAATACTAAACCAGGTCCTATAAACAATAAACAAATGATTATCATAGCATATATATATTGCATAATTTATACGTAATTATAAAATATGGATCAATAACCAAATCGTACGGTATTCCACAAGTTAAAAATAATAAACGTTTATAATTAGTCTTTTGTTATTTTATGTACTCAAAATAGATAACCCCATTTATTGTTTAAATAAGGACAGATAAGAAAAATTTTTGGATGGGATGCCTGATATTCAGATTTTAAAAGTTATGCATTATTTTTCTCTTGATGAAGTTTTATTCTTTGAACTGGATGATTTGATTGTGTAGCATTCATCGTTCTTTTGAATGACATCATCAACATAAACTTGAAGTAGAAGTGAAATGTTCGAATCTCTCTATATATGAATTTCAGTTTGTTCTGTAGACGTCAGGTGTATTAGAGGTCTTTTCTAATCTTTTTTTACAGCTTACAATAACATTAATTTAGACAGAACGAAAATCTCCATTACTGATCATTAACTCAAGTATTTGAGTTACGACGGTAATGTAAAATAGTTATTATTGAATAGAGAAAATTATATATTTTATAATATTATCTCCTAATATAAGTAAATAAAGTTAGATCAAGTAATTGTGACTGAAAAATATATTGTTATTCTTCAAATGTTTTAACTTATTTAAGCATATATATTAAGTAATCCCTGGTACCTAATGTTTCATAATATGAGATACTACCCGAAGTGATCATAATGTATTCTTAAAAATGTTAAGGTTCGTACATTTATTTCTTTTCAAAGTACTTCCATTGATGATAATGTACTTATCCTGCATTCACTTTTGTTGTTTAGAATATTTTGGATAGTTTTTATTGGTTTGTCTTTTCATATATTTCATCACTTTACACAATTTTCTTAGCTCTAAAATGGATTACTTCTATCGAGTACACAGATGATATGTTCGAATTCAACTCATAACTAATCCCTTGGATGTTCATTTGATTATCAGAGAGTGGAAGTAATTTCAGATATAAGTTGACAATTATCAGAAACTTTTATCATCAAAGAGATCCTGGTGACCTTTACTGAAAGTTTCAATGTACTTCAAAAAGCTGTTCTTTTCAGTGATGTATCGTTTTAAAAAGCCCTCAAAATTTAAACCTCTTGACAGTTTTGGAAAAATTAATTATCGTTTAGTACACATAATTAATTTATCGACCATGTATAAAACACGTATATAAATGTAAATCACTTTCAAAGTTATATAGTCTAAGTAGAACAAAAGGATCTAAAAACTATTGACTAACAATCACAGAGTTCTTTTTACTTCAATAAACTTTACAAATGACTGAGTATCTATGCTCTAAATGTTTAATCGGCTAAGACTACAAATATTTCAAATATCATCAACTGTTTTGTTTCAGTTGACTAAATTTACGTCAAATTTCACTATCGCTAATTTCAAGGTTATTTTGGTTATTAATATTGCTGTGTTCAGGAAATCTTTAGATTATATATAGATCTCATTTATTCAGATGTTCTATACTTGGACGTTAAGATATTCTTTGATACAACCCGTGATAACATACATATGTGAGAATAAATACATTTACTGTATAATAGTAAAATTAATATGATTATTAGGTATAGCAGAAAACACAATATCATTAAATCACTATGAGGAAATTCACCGATTCAGAAATTTATGTTTAATAATTTTTTTTACCTAACTCTTAAGCCTATAGCATATTTTTAGAGTTAATATTTCATTATCACCATGGTAACTTTGTTACGCTAAAAGTTCGCAAAAACCCTTTTCAGAACATGTCACAGGTTCTCAAATATCATTAAGGGAGTTAACTAAAGACTGTTACTCATTTAACTAACGGCGAATGACAGTTTTCTAAACAGTTTTTTTATAAATGTAGTACAGCTTGAAAAGCATTCAAAAATGTTTAGTTATAAATGAGGTATAATCGTAGATGAAACACTAGATAATACATTCAGATGTTTAAACATTTCATAGTCTTCGTTCAGTGGCAACGTTTATTTAATATCTACAAGAAATTAAAACAAATTAACGAGGACATCTTGAGAAATAGTATTTTTTAAAAACTTTTTCCGATCAGGAACAATCTACTGTTTTTCTGACCAAATGGATCATACTAGATTGTTGATGGGCATTAGTCATTACAGTCTGTTCCAAAAACAAATACAACTATATTCCAAAACGTTCCAAAAATAAGACAAACTACTAAAAATAGTAAAGACGTTAATACATTTTAGAAATCATAAGTATGGAATTAATTAACTAAGAGAATTCATGTCAAAAACCGGAAGGAATAAACGAATATGTAACAACATAAGTAATTTTAACATCGACGGGCCATATAATTTTAATAATTTCTAAGGGAAAATCGAATGCTAGTGAGTGCAACATTTTAACCATAAAGAAACATCAAACATATATAAACATTCATAGTAGTACTATGACATTTTTCATATATTTTGAATAACACTTACTGGTAATGTTGAAAGTATGCAAGATTCTATGTAGACTAAACGTTTGATTAACAATATAGTCACCTATAATAGATACTGAATACCTACAAAACAGTCTTGAACGAAGCTTTCTCAACATAAAAACCTAACCGACATAAAAAAAACTTAAGATTATAAAATACAAACCGTAAAATGTTTTCACAAAGTATCACTCATACCTTCATTTGCAACATCTTCCATTGTTTTTCCCATACGGAAACACATATATCCCAAAACAGAGAAGACAACAAATCCTGACACAAAACTTGTTGCACAGTTAATAAAACTGGTAATCATTGCATCTCTGTTTATATATAATGAAAAATAAAATAGAAAAATACTCTTAAATGTAATAAATTTTATCATTAATTCTGAAAAATCTAATTTTATCAACAGATTGACATAGATAGTTTGTATTTTAGTATATTTTTTGAGTGCAGAATCATTCATTATGATCAGATATATTGAAATAATGAGTTATATTTTTTACTACTATTTTATTAAGAAGTTGAACATGACAAATGTTTGAACTTTTTAAAAGATCCCGCCTTCAGGGTCGTGGATGTGCACTAGTGATGAATCCCATGGTAGAACGAAATGGCCGACTAGTGCTTACAGGTTTCCAATGGCAGTCTAGCTTTAATCAACTTATGAATTCAACTGTGTTTAATTAGTTTACAATTCAATGGCCTAACTTTAGAATGTGAGACATTATTTTCAGTTTTAAGCAAGTATTTATTGTAAACAGCATATTGGTTTTTTATAGTTTGGAATTATAATATACCAAGCGTTTATTCCTTAAGAATTCACGTTGTTCTTCTTCAAAAATATTATGTAACTGAAAAATAGCTGGGAATACTATTTTACTAACTTATAACAGTTATTATGAAATTTATTATAACTGGATAATGCCAATAGAACACCAAAGCCTGGTCCAAGTGAAAAGAATATTTGAGATGCAGCATCACTCCAAACCTAAAAGGAAAATATAAAGAAACAAGAATTTGTATTGAAAAGTCAGTTGACATAACAAATTATGTTATTGATACATGGACGATATATATAATCAGATTTTCCAGATGGTTATTTAGCGATTATGAGAAATACATATAGTTACTGAATACATATTTTAAAATTAGTTGCCTGTTATGTTATGAAGAGGATTACTTGTTTGAATGAGACATTGGTACTACTATCACTCTTACTACTCTTATCACTTTTAATTTTATTGGTTGTCTGATTTCATTGTACAGAAATATTGTTATTGGCATATTAATAGAGGACAAGACAAAATTAGTTTTAAATTTTCAGACCAAACATTAATCAAGAATAAGGCCTATAGAGATATCTTTGTTAGTTATCTGGAATCCAACCACTATAACATTAAATAAAGTAAAAATGTTTTGTGAATTGTCTGCTTCAAAATTACTATGATCAGTAACAGGAAATAAAGCTCTGTGGAGGAAATTTTGAACATGATAACATAAAAGTACTAGCTGAATGGATCTGTTTTTCATGGAGAATATTATGAATCAACTGACCGAATTCGATAAACTAAATAATTATATCCATCGGTAACTTGGTCAGCAGTGGAGACTGTTTCATGAATGATTCTCTAATATAAACGTTTTAACTTCATATCAACAATTTAATAATAATATTTTATGAAACATGGCATGGTATTTATTAGCCTTATATGTACCACTGTTTTTGGTCTAAAAATACAGATTATCGTTGAAAGAGAAAGTGGTATTGTCATGTTGTTTTATGGGCCCGGTATCTGACTCCAGGTCGATCGTATGAATGATTGTTATTGAAATATACATGCCACTAATCCTTGTAAATAATCATCGACTTAAATCGCGTTAGTGGATAACGAAATTAAATAAGTCAAATAGGAGAATGGATTTCCAATACGTGTATTTCATACAATCATTGATCCAGACAAACGATCGGAGAAGCAAAGAGAAGAGAGCGAAGCGAAATGACGTGCAGTGAAAAAGGTGAGTGAGGCTATAGCAACTCACGTTCAATTGAGTTTGCTCTCATCTAATTCGGTTAAGTCCTTTTGTTAACCTATTAAACGGAAAAAGTCATTTGTACATTAACAACTTATCGTACCTTTACAAGCCAACTCCGATTAGCCAAGCATGAATCGATATTTACAGTCGAACAAAAATAAGTTACAGACGTGTGATGAGTAAAATAAGAAATGCACACACAAACGCTTACATAAAAAAGTCAAGGTTGATAAACGAATAAGTGACAGGGTAAAATATGGCTTGAGAAGAATGAATAAATTGATCTCTTCAGAGTCTAGAAAAAACTAAGTGGGCTTGAGATAGTACTAACCCCTACAGTGTTGACCCTTTTAATAAGAAAGTCAATTCAAAAAGTGTTTGGTATCGTATGGATATACTGTTGAGCATAGTATATGTTTAAATGTACTATGGATACACTGGGATTAACAAATCAAAAATTGAAAATATTTTAACTTACAGAAGTACTTAACAGACTTGAAAAATTTGGTGTAAGATAGTACTTGATACCAGTTAACGAACCTTCTAATGTTAAACCACGAATCAAGAGGATAGTTAAAATAACGTAAGGCATAGTAGCAGTTATCCATACAGCCTGTGAAAATAAAATAAAATTTACATCACTGACAGAAATAAGTTATCAATAATAAGTGTCATCAATATTGATGAGAAATATTCAGGAATGGATAATACAATTTAATGAAGAGAACAAGAACAAAAATGGGTGTAGAATAATAGGAATTCATTTTATTTCATCAGGATTTCATCAGCTGCTTACAACCTATAATATTTTAGAATCAATGTTATTACAGATATTGACATACTTATACATGAGAGGGTGATTAGATATGAATATGTATACCATGATCTAACGAAGATTCCGATAGAGTTAATAAGGTCAGAAAAAGTTAGTCTTTTAATATGATGGGGATCTTCAAAAGAATAAAGTATTTTGTTTCAGATAAATAATTTTTCGAGATGGAAAGTTCCAGAACATTTAAATACTGATTGTGTAATGAAGCAACTGAAAGTTGATTAATGGTAATAAATAAAGACATGAATTGAAGAAAAATGACCATGATGTAATCAAACTTTAGAAAGAGTTCAAATAATGAATAACGTAATAAATAAAAAAGGGTTTAATAATATCAGGGCAAGAAAAGATTAATTACTGCCTCTTTTTGGATACATAGATCTGGTTTGAGACGTTTGATTTCTATCGATTCGGCAAATTTTTCAAAAACTGAGGTTTGATTCGCTTGATGTTGTTTTACTTGAATCTTCCCATTGATGTTTAGGACTGCAATTGATCAGTCTCTTATTGGCATATGTGCATACTGTGCGTACTGCCTCGATATTGCCTTAATTTACAAGCATTATAAGCAAAGATGGATAGTGGCTAGCAGTGGAATCCAGCACGTGCGTTTCTTCCTATTTGGGACTTGTCAGCTGGATGTACCTGCATCTCAGAGTTGATGTTCACTCCGGGACTCAAACGCATTACACAAGCAAGTGGCTATCAGGACTCAGTAGCTAAGTGGATAACGCGATGGCGTTTGAAGCGAACGGTACTAGGTTCAAGTCCCAGAGTGAACATCAACTCTGAGATGCAGGTACATCCAGCTGACAAGTCCCAAATAGGACGAAACACGCGTCCTAGATTCCACTGCTAACCACTATCCATCTTTGCTTATAAAGGGGGATTGATTGTTTGTTAATCACACTAAAGGACCTCAGTGTATCGACTTCATGTCCTGTATCAAGGAGATGTCTTGAGATGGCACCGCTGAATGCTTTTAATCCGTTCGAACTTAAACTCTTCGTAATCTGTTCTTTGAATCGTACGTAGGCTTTCCTTTCTGTTCTATCACCCTCGTATTTATAAGTATGTCAATATCTGTAATAACATTGATTCTAAAATATTATCGGTTGTAAGCGGCTGATGAAGACTTAACGAAATAAAATGAATTCATGTTATTCTGCACCAATCTTCGTTTTTTCTCACTTTAAGTTTAATAAATGGAACAATTCGCTAAATAGTTTTACTGACTGAAGTGTAAATGGGTGAATATTTTTAAAAAGTTTCATTTCAGGTGATTACGATGTGTAACTCTATGGGTATTACGCTAAATATCTTTATATTTTAAGTATTTTAGAAGATCCTTAATTACTAAACGAAAGAATATGTTAAATAGGACTGAATGAATTAATCGAATGACTTAAAGGAATAACCAAACTATATTTTAATTCTGATATGTATCTTTTATGTTAAAATAAAAACAGTTAAAAGAATAACACCTGTGATATCCTTATTTATCTACACTTTAAGAATGAATGAAAAGCCAAAACACATGGTCTATAAAAAAAACTCATTAAAAATGAATATAAAGTTTAGTTGAAGCATAAAGTTCTGAAACAGTTTCAGTAAGAAATAATGCTAGGATTACACATTTTCAGTTAGATCTATATACAATTATGTAAATACAGTTATGCTCCAAACACAAATAATGTATGTTTTTCGAAAACAGTAAGTTTAATTGAAATCATGGACTGATTGATGTTTGACCACCATTGAAAACCTGGAAGCATTGAATGGCCTTTTCGTCCTATTATGGGACTACTCAGCAGTGTGCATCCACGATCCCGCTCAACAAAGTCTTCAGTTTCGCGTGCGAAGGCTTATCTTTTAGTCCACTGAACCGGCTGACATCCAACGGTGTTAATGTCTAACTTCAACCAATCCACGAAACTGCGCCACCGTTCACCGTTGTTTTCGATGAGTTACTATCTGATAAAAGACTATAATATCTACAAAAACCCCTTAAAAAAAGTATATGTATATACAATATAAAAGAAAAACTACATTCAGTCACACTTACTTTTCCACTACTTTTAACTCCTTTCCAAAGTGAAAAATAAACTATTGTGAATACTGCAACTAGGCAAAGACAAATCTCCCAACGTATTGGACCAACATTATTGTATCCTTCTGCATATTGAATTTGTAAAACTCGACGACTTTTGTAGTTGAAATAAAACATGTAAATTAAACAGACAAAATGTTTTTCTTAAGAATTTCGATATAATTTTATGGGTAATTAATCGGTAAGCAAGTTACAGGTTGTTATATAAACAAAATGTTAGCTTTTAATGCTTGTTTTCTCTGTGATATATAAGCTAACATTTGTATTACACTTATGTACCAGAGATTTAAGTTTGTTTATTTTATTCTTATCTCCATTCCTCTCTATTTTACTGTAGTTCTGTTAAATCTGATATTTCTTTGTTCATTTCATAAGTTACGTCACTTTTAGACTTTGATTAAATCCATCAAAATCAACTGTTGATACTTTTAATGTCTAATATTACACTGATATTTGCATAATAACAACTGACAACAAATATGGGTATTATCTAGTACGTAATGTATATGTTCTAAAGAGTTATACTCACTAGTTGAATAGCTGTTTTCTTAATACTCAAAAACATATTTCCAGAGTGATAAATGAACTAGTTGGCTGATTTATAATGTGGATTGTGTAATTATGGTCAACTAGAAAAATTGGATGATATATGTAGTTTCAGAGGAAAGAAAAAATATTCCTTAAACTTAATACAGTTGATAAATCTGAGGTGAAAGACAATACGACTGACTATGTTAATTATTGAAACGACAAAACATAATAAAGGAGGTATTATACCTTGAGAACAATTAAGATGTATTCTTCAAGCTGAGTGTTCTGTTTCATTTTGAAACATAAAAGCTTCATTAAAATTTTGAGTAGTATAAATTTTAAACAGAAAATTACATCTCATTTTCATGAGAAACCTATTCCCTTCTGATTTGTAAGTTATATACAATTATTATCGAAGTAATTAACCGTCTTCTAACTTCAGATTCAAACTTTGACTATATGACTAAATTTATTAATTTGTACATGCATAATTTATGAAACTCATTCATTTTTACGTAACAATAAAACTATTCACATAATTTATTATCTAAAAATGATAATTAACTGATCGGAGTAAAATCCATTTTTACACATTATTCTGTACATGTGACTACTGTATTTTTATTATGGCCATGTTGTCTTTGTAAATGAATGCGGTATACCTGGAGGCACTGGAAAGCCGTTTCGTCCTGTTGGGAGACTCGTCAGTAAAGCGCATTCACGATCACGCCTCTCGAGATTCGAACCCAGGACCTACCATTCTCATACGCGAACGCTTAACTGCTAGACCACTGAGCCGGAACACATCCAATGGTGTTAATGTCTAACTTCAATCAATCCATGAAATTGAGAGACACATCAACCATTGTCTTCAGTGAGTTATTATCTCTCAACTAAATCGAATGAACTCTACTGGTCACTACTTCTTACTAGAACTCCAGGAAACACCTCTTAAAGCCACTCACTAGTGAGCATATGTTAATTAGTATTAAAAGAGGTTTTGTGGAGATTGTAATAATTTCAATATTTGAGACTATGAGTCAATTAAAGCTAGACCACCATGGAAAACCTGGAAGCACTGGATGGTCGTTTCGTCCTATTGTGAGACTTCTCAAAAGTGCGCATCCACGATCCCGCCCCCCACTAGATTCGAACCCAGAACCTGTCAGTCTCACGCGTGAGCGCTTAACCATGATCTCAACTATTGAAATTACTAGAATCTCCACAGAAACCCTTCTGAATACGGTATTCGTAATATTCTGAAAATCCATAGTTTTAAAATGATTTTTTAGTTTAGTTGAAATTAGAATTTATCTGATTTAAATATTCCATTGTCATAAACATTTGCTGATTTCATTGTATTAACTCTATTACAACAGCTTGATATAAAGCTTTTTCAATCTTGGAATATGTTTTTGTTTTAAAATAATATAGAATGGTCACTTATTTAAACATAAAGAACTTGATTTTATTTATCTAAAATCTCATTTTACGATAATCCCTAAACATTTAATTTGTGTCTGTAATTGTAAACAAAACTAATAATTTAATTAGAGGAAATATAGAGATAATTCTAGTCTGTCTCTGCTATGTTTAAAGAGATTACAAGTTCACCTAATCTGAGAACGGAACAAAGATTCAGTGATAAAATGACCAATTAGTTAGCTATTTCGATGCGTTCCAATCCCGCTAACTAAAGAGAGAGAAGTTCAAGTTCAGAAGAGGGAAATATACTCCACTAGCAGCCATAAGCACGAGTAACAACAATAAGCACAACGCAAGAGTATATATACAACATAAAAATGTCCTTGGGAAATGGTAAAAAATTGCTTATTAAAAGAGACAACGAACTAATAGCCTTTAAAACGCTTTCATGTGGGAAATACGATATGAAGGTAAAAATGGGCGTTTTTAGCGCGAAAACAAGGAATTCACATTTTTGAAATAGAATTACAAAAATTAGGCATTTACTAAGTGAGTTCTGGGGATTTAACATTCCCACCATTTTCAAAATCAATGTTCGTTAGAAACTAATCACAAGTTTTATAGCTATTCTAAATGGATCATAAATGCTATGTTGTTGTTCAGCACAAAGTAGATTATATCGAAGTCGTGAACCCGGCAAATGTTAGATCACCATTCAACCAATCCACAATGTTACGTGACTATCTCAGTGTTCTAGTGAGAAACAGTGACTAGTTAAGTTTAACTGTATCGGGTTTGAGGTAGTTTTCTACCGAAGACAATATCGTGTGCTAATTGAAGTAACACACTAACACAGTTGAATTTCAGCTCAGTGGTTTAGAGGTTAGGCGTTCACATGCGGAATCAAATATCCTGGATTCAAAGTCGTGAATGTACACTTCCGAAGAGTCTCACGTTCTTCTAGTGCATCCAGGTTTTCAATGGTAGTCCTAAATTTGTCAGTTCATAATTTTAAGAAAATTCAACAATCTTCATAATGTAATACTGATAAAGTATATTAATTCGCATGCTGTACATTTCATAGTTTTGATCTTGAATGTCTACTATTACAATTAATTCAACTCAGAAAATTTTCTTTTACTGAAGCTACAGAATTATATTTATAATTAATTAGCGCTAATAATTCTACAACAAATTACATAGATACTGGATCAATTGAAAAACGATTGAAAATTTTACTAAGTGTAGAACATAAGTTACGCAATTGTTTAGAATTAAGTGGAGGGTTGTGAGGCGGAAATAGACTTAACAATTGAACTATAGTTATCTACCCTTGTGGATATTATGAGAAAGTGAATAAAGAATGAGTGAAATGTAGTAAATTATGATGGATTTATTTCTGCACCAAAATAAAATAAAAGGGATACAGATGACATTTAGTGAATAAAAATTTCATGGTTGAAGTGACAAAACAAAAGAAGTTCTGTTTTTTGGGGGGGGATAGATTTCTGGTCTATATGTTAGAGTGTCTAATTTTGTAGATAATTTTAAAGGGTATCCAAGTTATTTCACTGTTATATTAATAATTTTTGTTTAAATACCACACCTGAAAAGTCTCAGTGATGATTTTCAAACTTTTCAACTTTGTTATTCTTTAATTGTCTACAATCCAATGATTGACATTTGAATAATTTCAAGCATTTGTATTGATAGATGACAAATAAATGACATACATAGATACTAAATTAAATGCCAAATAATAAGGACTATAACTTATTTCGAATGATAGGATAATTAAGATTTACTACGTTCTGACAAACATTATTTAACCTTTACATGCATAATTTTGTTCATAATAAAGATATTACTTGTAATAGATTACTTATAAACTTACTAGAAATATTCTTCTGTCGAAGAAAACACTTCACCACTTCCATTAATTTTTAGATTAACTATTGATAAATTGACCAATTCATTTAATTCATATTTATGTGAAGCATTTAGTATAGAATGATTGATCAACCTTTCATAAACGGTAACACAAGAATTTGTATTCCACCAGTTATTACATCCATCCCATGGTATATGTGGTTTCATAGCGTCAATCATATAGAATAGTGCCCACGCAATAATTGTATTGTAATACCATGCTGTATAACTTGCAATTATACAAATTCCAAAACCAATGCCTAAATTTTAAGGAAACGTAAAGATGATGAAAGATTTTCAATTGAGTAATTTCGCCTAAGTTTATTCGAGGAGTTAACAAAAACATATCATTGCGTAAGTAATGTACATTAATTATTTTACAATTCTTACCAAATTAAAAGTATATTTAATGGTTGAATTTTTGAGTCAATTAAAGGTAGACCACTATGGAAAACCTGGAAGCACTGGACGGCCGAACGGGATCGTGGATGAGCACTGCTGAGTGCCATACTAGGACGAAACGGCCGCCCAAGTCTTCTAGGTTTCTTATGCTTGTCTAGCTTTAATTAACTCATGAATTCAACTGTTAAATTACTGTAGTGTCGGCTGCTATGTAAAGCCTGTATACCTTATTCTAGCTTCTGGAAAGGCAAATTTATGCATTCTTCTGCAGTCACGTTTTGACCTTGTTAATTATTCATTTATCAACCCTGACTGTTTTTATATGAGCGTATGTGTGTGTACACTTTTTATCCAATTCGAAATCCATTCTCGGATTTGGTTTATTTAATTCCGTTATTCACTAACGTGGTTCAAGTCGATGAAATACACGAGGATAGCCAGGATGTATATTTTGACAACAATCGTTCATGCAATCCTACTTGGAGTTAGATATAGGGCCACTAAATTACTTGCATCCCAATGTTGATATTCATATTAGATCTCGAATCCTTAATTACTTACGCCTGTTACTCCACATGGTGAAGTATAAGCTGCCCACCAGCATTCTCCATCCAACCCTTTCCTGAACAATCCTTTCCAGCTCTTTCCCGTTGTTATTCATCCTTTTCATATCCGCTTATATTTCCCGACGTAATGTGTTCTTTGACCTTCCACTTTTCCGCTTCCCTTCAGGATTCCAAGTAAGGGCTTGCCTCGTAATGCAGTTTGGTGATTTGCGTAATGCATGTCGTATCCATTTCCACCGTCTTTCCTTAATTTCCTCTTGAGCTGGAAGCTGGTTTGTTCTCTTCCACAGATGGCTGTTACTGATGGTATCCGGCCAATGAACGTTAAGTATCTTGCGTAGACAGCTATTTATAAATGCTTGTACATTCTTGATGATGGTTGTTGTAGTTCTCCACATTTCAGCTCCATACAGTAGAGCTGCCTTGACGTTCGTATTGAAGATTCTGACTTTGATATTGGTTGAAAGTTGTTTTGAGTTCCATATGTTCTTTAATTGTAGGAATATGGTCCTTGCTTTGCCAATTAGATCTCAAATCCAGTTATAATGATATAAGCTTGATAATCATGCAACAAGTTAAAGACTATATGAACTCAGTAGTTTACGGAATAAGGCTTCAATGTTTGAATTGTATGGTACTGTGTTACAATTGTAATGTGTACGTCAATACTGAAATCCTAATATATCCAGGTGACAAGTTCCATTTAAAACAAAATATACATCCTTGATTCTATTACTAGACATAATCTATTTGTTCTAAATAAATAAAATTCATATTTATCATTCTGTTGTAAAATTTGATTAACATTATTAATCAAAGAAACCTGAGATTAATTACAATCCAATGTAAATATTTTACAAACATTTCGTTGTTACATTTCTATCCTTAAAATAAACTCTTTTTTTTCTTATTTATTTATTATTTACTATGTATTCAGGTTAAAATCTGTTATTTTGTTGTTATTATTATTAGTCTTTTTTTATATTTTTAATAAGTCTGAAATATTTTGAATAAATTAAACTCAATAAATGACAGAAATGTTTGTAACCGGATAGGTTTCATGATTACATATTATTATTGTTATGTAATACATGTATTTTTTAATAAAATTCTTGATATTGAGATGAAAAAAATAATAATAATTTCATATAAAACATATATAATAAATGAAGTTTTGATAACCTTATGTAGAATTATATGAAACAAATGTGTATCTTAAATCCCTCCCTGAAAAAGACTGGTTACTATGAATAAATTATCGGTAACAATATATATATATATATATATATATATATATATATGACAATTATTTGTTGCCTTGACTTTTATTAAAAATAAAATAAGATTTATAACTTAAAGACAGTGTATATTGGCTTTGATCGGCTTAATCGATCACCTCGATTACTGTTATAATATAAATCTCAATAATGTTTGAAAACACGAGTCAAACAGTAGGATGTAATATAAAATGACAAATTATATTGTAATGCTGACGTTCAATGTAACATACCCAATGAAAACAAAAGGATGAATAATTTAGATACATATATGATCATCTAAACTAATATTGATAAAGATTATCGTAAATAGTTTATCACTATGCATAATTACCTATGTATAACATAGAATCTTATACAGATGAACAATATTTTGAAATATATTAATTCAAGAACGCAATGTCTATGTGACATATCATTATTAGCAGTGATGTTAAACAAATGATTTTTGGTATTTGGAAACATTAAATATTAAAAACGGTTAACATGAACATAAATTGTCTATTGATATATCTTGTAATATTGTAGTGGCTTTTCTTCGTTAATCAATCACTCTACTAACCTTTATTATATAAACCTCAACGATGTTTGAAATCAGAAGATAATGAGAAGCGGCGATTGCAATTTACTAGCGGATAACGCAGATCACGAAGCTATGAGTATATCAACCGAATTTGAAGCAGAGAAGCGAATATATTTATGCGGGTAAATACAGAGACAAATTTATAGTCAAGTTGGATGTGAACACAGCAAGGCAAAGCGAAGTCTGATAATAGGATTTGAGTACATGCATACATGGGGAGGAGGATGAATCATCGAGCATCACTTAAGATAATAACATTTTAGCTAGAGTCTATCATGTGTTTTACTGATCACAACGGTACAAAGAGATATGCGAATCGTTACTGTTCAAATAACATTGTCTGTTAAGTAAGTTAATAAAAGAGCTTGACGAAAATTAACTATAATCTAAATTGGTTTTAGGATATTTGCTATAAATTATCCATGATCCATTAGGTATAATGCAGTAATAATAATCATCAGCAAACGATTTGTAGTTTTTTTGAAAATGACTTGAGCAAAACCACCAAACTAATTTATATTTATAATACTATAATCACATTTAAATGACCACATAAATTTCAAATCGTTACTTTTGTATCTTATCTATCTTATACCTACAAACATTGTCTACAAAACACATTACTTTAAGTGATGAAAAACAGGTTTATATGAATTCAGAGTAATTATTTGTAGTTAAAGTGTTGAATGATCATGTTCCACTTCATATTACCTTTTTACTATCAATATTGTTTTTGAACTAAAGTCAAGTTGGTTGTCTATTCAAATCACTACTAACAAATCCTTGTTTGGTGAAGTGGTCTCATTTTTTTGAAGTAATAGGATTGAAAATGAAGCTAGCTATCTCCCAAATGATAGACTGATGAGAGCTGTTTAAAGAAATTTTTATATAGTAAATTTCATTTTGTCATTTTCCAATTGATCAGACGTTTCTATTCAACCAAAGAGTAAGTTATCTGATTTTGTTGTTCTTATGATTTAGTCATTGATTAAGTGAACATCTGTTTGAGTGCTTTGCAAGGGGTCAAATAATGATTCATTTTGTCATACTCAGTCGACAGAGATCATGTAATAAATGAAATTAAATAATTTATATTAATCTACAGAATACATTCATTGTTTTATAATTGGGTTTTCTCTATTCTTCTACGTATAATAGATGAAATTTATAGCATTTAGATCATTTACTCGGTATTTAGTAGTTACAGATGGTTGTACTAATTTTTATTTTTTATTATTTATGCTCCAATAGTCTGATAATAAATGCTTTCTAAACATACATATATAACATTTTCAAGTTCAACTAATCCTATCTTTCAAAATGTTATTCGACAAGAGTCTTAAAGATGCGCACTGCTGAGGAGTCCCATACTAGGACGAAACGGCTGTCTAGTGCTTCCAGGTTTCTAACGGTAGTCTAACATCAGTCGATTCATGATCTCAATCAAAGTCTTAAATATGTGTTTTATTATGTTATGTTGTTATCATTAAAATTTGTAGAGAGTCTTTACAAACATGTTTTGTTTGGGTAATCAGGTTTCAAACAGTCAATACATTAAATAAAATGGTTTTAATAATTAAAATATATAAGAAATTATGCTAATTCAATAAATTTGCAAACTACCGTAAGAGTTCACAAATTTTACTTATTGTTATCATGATCTATTTATGTACAAAATGTTATTTTGAAAAAAACAACCTTGTTTACTTTGTTAACTAACTAGCAACAATCGTTTAAACTAACTAAACTCGAAGTAAGTATACAAGCATTTGATATCTACCATATTATTCAAACAGAGAATTTACTTATTATATATAATGGTACCTGAAACTATTTAACATTATTAAAAGTTCACTATGACACTATGTTACTTAATTAACTCATCGATAAAAATTGATTACTGATAATCAGACTCCTAGTGTAACATAATAGTGTAACAATTCACTTTTAGATTAGTATCCAATTAGTGATTTGGAAAATTTGGAAAAAAAATCAATCATGTAGGTTACAGATAAACCTTAGTAATCAAATTTTTTCAAATCAAAGATTTAAATTTTGACAAAGTATGGTTTCAATAATTTATTGAATTTAAATTACGTAACAGCTTATTTGATTTAAATTCTGTAACTAAATACTGATAAAATCATACTAAAAAAAGTTAAACAATATATGAATGATCGATGTTAAGCCAACAAACTAATGTCAAATATTATACAAGAAATAAAGATTGAAATCAATTCGGCGAGACTCTAATTTATGGACGAGCCAATCGGAAGTGTATTAGAGATTTCAAGGTTACGGCGCTAACTTCAGTGCTTAGTACTAACATACAGGGAATTTTGTACAAAACGTGATAAATTGGAGGCTATGGCAAATAAAACGACTAGACTATAATTTGTGGACAAACCAATCAGGTATAACATAACAGATCTTCGATTTTGGCGCGAAAGTCTTTCATCCATTTGGCTAAATAAGTTTCTGGCATTATAGCTGATGTGAGTTCATGATGAAAACCCCATATATAATTACTAAGGCGAATTATGATGATTATTGGGAACTGGATAATAAAGGCACCAGTAACACTGGCTGCAGTCAGGTACTACAGTATATAAGGGTGATTGGAGAGCGTACAGACTCCTACATAGGCTTGGTTATGTGCATCGTGTCATTATCCACAAGTAGGATTTTGTGTACTCAATAACTGAAGTGCACATAAACAATATTGAAACTATGTGGTCGAGGCTGAAAGAGTTTTTGAGACTTTATTATGGCTCCAGAGGCCGACTATTCTGTAGCCGTATGGATGGTTTCCTCTACTGCATGAATTACGATTTTAGAACCTCTGAACCTTTTTCATACCTTGACAAGTTTTTGAACCATGTATAAGAAGTGTATCCACTTTATTTCCTTGGTTTTGTATAATATATTTTACTCTATACTTGTTGTTTGCTGAATGGCTAACATTATTAAGGTTAATTACGATTCGTACAAAGGTCGTCCATAAATTAGAGTCTCGTCATCAATTCATTTTGTTTGATGGAATATCTTGTGATTTAAAGTACTGGCGGTTAATGTTTAGTTTTAAGCAGTGATATTAGACTAATAGTTGTAATAAACTAATATTTGGACTAAGATATGACTCAACCGATTGTCTTTATTTACTTATATTTATTATTTATGTAATACCTAATTTTATATTCAGTCTGATGAAGTTAGAAGTGTTAGAATTAAATTTTACTTGAAATAAACAATCATATACAGTCTATTTCTACATTAAATCAATGTTTATTACTGTTATGAAAATAAGCTGTGAGATTTGACTTAGCTATTTCTTTTTAAAAATAGCTAATAAGACTATTGAGAAATGAATATTTTCAAAATGATTTAGTTTTTGATGAAATAAACTAGTGACAATTTATCATTGTTTGAATTTACTCATCAAATAATCAACAATCAATGAGTATCAGTATAGGGTTGTAGAAATCATGAACCGATTGATGTAAAACCACTATTGAAAACCTGAAAATATTAAACTGCCGTTTCCTTCTATTGTGGGACACCTCAGTCGTGTGCACCCATGATCCCGCTCGCCAGATTCAAACCTTAGGGCATTCGTTCTTGCGCGCGAACACTCGACTTTTAAACCACAGAACTGGCCGGTATCCAACGGTATTAATGTCTAGTATTTTCTTTTACAAGTTTACCAAATAATATTCCTGAAGATTTTAGCTGTCTTATGAAATTACACTTAGTTTTATAAGTAAAATTTATATTAGTTAACTCCATATAATTTTGTTGTTCTTTAAACAGTTCCAATGTTTCATTCTTGAAGTCACTGAGCTTTTATAGTTAATACTTACCATTAGATTATGATATATTATTCTGTAAAATAAATTATTGATCATTTTCGAAAGTTTTAAATTTTAGTAGTTCAGATATAAATTGAAATAATAACTTCTATCTGAAATCATTAATTGTTCCCATATACATGTTTATAATTATGCATAAAAATAAAAAGTATAATGCCGTCGAAGAACAATTTAGACAACTTTAGAATTCTATCATGGTCACTGGATGAATAAAATGGTAAAACTAGTGATTGACTTTACTCTATCGATTCATAACAGTTATATTCAGACATTTTCAATGTTAATTATATTTTATATTGAGTTTAATTATAACCGAATATAAATCTTATTTATAGTAGTTAAAGTAGAATGATTTCATACCTTCTGTTGATCTTGTAATAAGTTTTATTAAATAAAATAAATAATCAATTTCAAAACAACAAGTTTAACATACCGCTAAACAAAGGGCATATTCTTTTCCATACGGTTAAACAACCACTACGTTGATATTGTCCTAATGCCAATTCAAGATAAAATAAAGGTAGTCCACCAAAAATGTACATAACTAAATAAGGAATTAGAAATGCACCTGTAAGGAAAAACACAAAAAAATACAAATGATATTGTAATACATTTTTTATCAAAACAACTTCATACATATTTGATGAATTTTACCCAATCATTCATAAACAACATGGATTATAATTATACATTTTAATGAATCGGAAAAAAATTGATTGTTAAGTTTTTTTTAATAATAATAATATGAGTTAATTGAAGCTAAACCACCATGGAAAACCTGGAAGCATTGGACGGTCGTTTCGTTTTACTATGGGACTCCTCAGAAACGAGTATCCACGATTTGACCTCACGAAATTCGAACCCGGAAATGATCGGTCTCGCACGCGTGTATACACGCTTAAACTATAGACCATTGAACTGGCCGGCATCTAGTGGCTTTATTGTCTGACTTCAACTAATCCACGAAATTGAGTGACACATCAACCATTTTCATCAGTGAGATACTATCTCACGACAGACCTGCTTCTAACTAGAGCTTCAGGAAATACCTGATGAAGCCAGTCATTAATGAGCATATATTGATTAGTATCAGAAAGGGTTTTGTGGATTCGTTGGTATGTGAATCTTTCTATCTGATAAAAAAAACTAATAAAATTCGCATAACTTACGAATTACATTCATTTATAGCCATTCATGGGTTTATTAATTCCAAAAAAGAATGATAAAATGGTTATGTTAAAAAACCCTAACTGTAACTGGTACAGGATTGTTTAACATTACTCTTCTCATTTGGTTGATTTAATGCTCATCTGTGAATCTTATACACTCAGTTGTGGATAATACATTTGTCTGAAAATGACTTACAGTACAATTCTTTCACTACGTATAAGTTGGGTTGTCACAATTAATTGCAAAAAATAATTGAAAAACAGCTTTATTAACGACATGAAATGCTAACTGGGAGATAGTAGGCATTTATATACAAAGAATTTCTTATTTACTGACATCTCTTTTTTGAAGGTTAATCACATGTCAACAACAAAAAATTTTATATACAACAGCGGAATCAAGTAACAGACGTCCAAATAGGCTTAAATCTTTTACTTGATGTGAATGCTTTGATATAATTTCTTTCTATTGTTAAGTTTTCTCCAAATAAATAAAAACACATTCATAATGACTGCCTTCATTTGGAGTCTTCTAAATTCATGAAAACTATTTTAGTTCTATCAAATGAAAGTGTACTTCTTTCAAAGGTGATTGTAAAGCAATCGATTATTGTTTCTAAGCATTCCGATTTGTTTAATTGTTTTTAATTTTTTTTCAAAATAAAAAACAATATTGATTTAATTTTTTGTTAATTTTATAGTTTTCATAATCAAATAAAATATTTTCAACACAGATAATAAATGATATTCATATAATAATCATTTTTGAAAATGAATTCTTTTAGCTTTCTTAACAAAAAAAGATTATAGACAGAGAGGAGTTTTATTGGTATTATAGTAATTTAATAAATGAATTCATGAGTTAACTGAAGCTAGATCACCATGGAAAACCGTTTCATCCTAGTATGAGACTCCTCAAAAGTGAGCATCCAAATGACTCATCAATTCAACTATTAAATCACTATAGTATCCTATAAAACCCAGTATCTGACTATAATCATTATATGCTCACTAGTGATGGTTTCCACGGTGTTCTTATGAGAAGCTTTGATCAGTGGAGTTCAACCAGGTCAGTTGTGAGATAGTAACTCACTGATGACAATGGTTGACAGTGATGCAATATTGTGGATTGGTTAAAGTTAGATATTAATAACATTTGATGTGAACTCAGTGGTCTAGAGGTTAAGCGTTTGCGCGTGCGAGACCGATAGGTTCTGTATTCGAATCCCACGAACAGGGTCGTGGATGTGCACTGCTGATAAGTTCCATACTTGGACGAAACTACCGTCCAGTGCTTCCACGTACTTCATGGCGGTTTAGCTTCAATTGACTCACGAATCCAACTATTAAAAATGATTATATTTTCAAAAAAATAATAAATAGATTTTCTTAAAAAATACTAGACACATTTTGTTTTTATTTTCTAATTAAATATGGTTTAATAATGACTGGTATAATTCAAGTACGACATATAACTAATCATAATAATATAAAAGAATCTGTTCCATAAATACATAAATTAAAGGATCTTCTTTAACTCACTTATAGTCGATTAACAATAGGTTGAGAGACGTTCTAAGAATAAGCGATAATTTCTTTTCAATTAATTGATAGAATAATAGGGTATATTAGGCTAACAAAATATCTTAGTATCAGGATGTTTAGTTTGAAAATATTTATTGTTTTTCATTTCTGTTTTGTTGATTACAAGTAATGATAACTAAGTCTCAAATAGGAAGAAACGTACATCCTAGATTTCACTACAATCCACTATCTATATTTGTTTATAATACTTGTGAATTAAGGTAATATCGAGGCAACAAGCAAAGTATGCATATATGCCAATAAGTGACTGATCAATTACAATCCTAAATATCAATCGAATGATTCAAGTAAACAATATCATGTGAAATTGTAGAATAAAATTAGAACTTTTTGTGAATGATTTGTTATTGTTTGTTCAAATACTATTCGGTTTACTGTAAAATATTATTTCTGTTTTCGGATGAAGAAAGTTTCAATGAGAATGAGATGAATACATTTCTTTGATTAATAATAAATAGTCTTATTTAAACTTGTGTTACTTTAATGTCGGTTATTTATTTATTCTGAAGAAGTGGTTTACATTAAGTTACAAAACGTCAGAAATATAATTTTTCTACTTATTTAGATATAACAAAGTATCTATTTATTATTAACTATCTACCTGATAATCAATTTATTTGAAACTATCAAATCTAACCTTAGTATTGATAACTATTTCTTTGATTAGTTGATAAATTTAATTCAGATATTCTTCATTATGTAAAGGAGATCACAGGTAAGAACTATTTTATAAACAATTCTGTCTTATAATAAATTAGTAATTCATAAATAAATTCTAATTAACTTTGATTATTTTATTTTTTTTTTGTTTAATGTGTATTGCACAACAATGGATGTAACGTAATCGTACAGATCTTAAATGGTTGTAACAATTTAAGTATACGATAGTGTAAAAGAGAATTACCAAAGTTTCTGTAGTATAGTAACCAATTTTTAATTACATATGTTGTACAATGTAAAATCATACTTAGATGATAACTGATTGAATAATCTTGATAATAATTAATGTCAAATTATTTAAAACGTTTAGTTACAATATTTGTCTAACAAGTTGATGTTGTTTACATAGAAAAGAAAGTACAACATTAGATAAACAAGAAAAAAGTGAATTTTATCATTTAAATAATTAAAATAAAAATTGTAATTATAAGAAAAGTAAAGTAAATGATTTCCGGACAAACACAATACCTATGAGTAAATTTAATGTACTTTTTTTCATTTGTTGACTTTAGTAATATTTCGTAATGTTAATGAAATAGATGGAATAGTCAAAATAGTACTAATCTAGTAAGCAGAATATAGAGCAGAGCATTCGTTGTTTGATGAAAATCACTGTAATTATACAATGACCAGTGGAGTTGAACCAAGTCTGTTGTAAGATAGTAACTCACTGATGACAATGGTGTATGTGTCGATCAATTTCATGGATTGGTTGAAGTTAAATATTAACACCGTTGGATGCCGGCCAGTCCAGTGGTCTAGAATTTAAGCGTTCGCGTTTGAGACTGATAGGACCTGAGTTCAAATCTCGCGAGGTGTGATCGTGGATGCGCACTGTTGGCGAGTCCCATAGTAAAACGAAACAGCCGTCTAGTGTTTCCAGGTTTTCCATGGTGGTATTATTTGCTGTTAGATACAAAAATTAGAAGTTTCACAGTTGTTATCTTCATTGTTTACTGTCATTAGGACTTGAAGATTTTTCAGGATCTTAAAGAATTTATATGTTATTTTAATTATTTAAAAATCAGCTGTGAAACATATCTTTTTTACTCTCGATCAGAATCGATTGCCTAAATTTAATTGTCAGTTGATCTTGTAATACTTGGATCATTTTATTAAGAGTCTGTAAGATTGATTGATTTGAAGAAAAGGAAATTACTTTTTTATTTTGATGCCCGATGATGAGTAGTTTGTTTAATAGTCCATGTTTTTAGAATACAGAAATGATCTCATCAGTTAAAAAAACTAACGTAAAAGTTACCGTTTGTACAAAATATGGAATAATGATTAAATATGCATTCAATGTTTTCATTGATTGGGAATAGTAGACAAGTAGGATTCTATCACAGTTTAATGAATCATTTATTCTTGTCTATAGCTTTACTTTAATACGAATATTAATAGAAATGAATTGAACTTTAGTTACCGTTTACAGTGTTGCGTAGTTATATTAAATATATAAATGTATCATTCATATAACGGGTATACTTCTAATGAAATAATGTATGTTTCATTAATACTAAAAACTGAATATGTTGTAAGATAGACTAGCTATATTTCAATATTTGAGATCATGAGTCAATTGAAGTTAGATTACCATGGAAAACCTGGAATCAATGGACGGCCATTTCGTCCTATTGTGGGACTCCTCTGAAGTGCACATCCACGACCCCGCCTCTCTAGATTCGAACCCAGGAACTGTCAGTTTCGCTCGTGAGCGCTTAACCACTAAACCACTGAGCTGGCCGGCATCCAACGGTGTTAATGTCTAACTTCAACTAATCCACGAAATTGAGCGACACATACCATTGTCATTCGTGAGTTGCTATCTCACAACAGACGTGGTTGAACTCCACTGGTCACTGCTTCTCACAAGAACTCCAGGACGTACCTATTGAAGCCCGTCACTAATGAGCATATGTTGATTAGTATCAGAAGGCTTCAATTGATTAATGTTCTCAACTATTGAAATTACTACAATGTCTACAAAACCCCTTCTGACAATAAGTATACCGTTTTATTAAGGTGATCTTCGAAATAAATAGTCAAGAATGAATTTTGTTTCAATTTTAAT